GCTTGCCAACCCAAGGAATGATCTGACGTTAAACAAAGTTGTTGGTACTTCATAGTTACGAATCGCTTCAACTTTACTTGGACATGTCTTTATACCATTACTTGAGACTACGAAACCTAGGTATTCTACACTTTCTTTGAAAAAGTGCGACTTTTCTGGTGAAACTCTCATGTTGGCCTCGTATAGTTTATCTAGGACCCAGGCGATATGCTTGACATGGCTTTCCATATTTTCAGAAAAAATGATTACGTCGTCTACGTAAACATAACAAGATTTTCCAATTTGCTCTCTGAGCACATCGTCAATGGCTCTCTGAAAAATACTAGGTGCATTTTTCAAGCCAAAAGGGAGCCTGCAGAACTCATACTTTCCGCTTCCTACAGAAAAGGCTGTTTTTTTCTCTATCTTTTTCGGCAAGTAAAATCTGGTGGAATCCGGATTTTAAATCTAGTGTTGTAAAGTACTTTGCTGTGCCTAAGTTGGATAAAATGGAGGCTATATTGGGAATGGGGTATTTGTCATCTATTGTCTTTTTGTTTAGTTTTCTGAAGTCTATAACTAAACGTTTCTTTTTTCTTCCCTGCTCGTCGGTACCTTTTTTATCTACAACCCACACGGGGTTATTGTATGGTGACTGGGACGGACGTATTATACCGTTTTCTAACAGATCTTGAGTTTCTGTGTTTACGAATTCTGATACGCCCATTGGGTATGGATATAATTTTGAATAAATGGGATTCTCGTCCTCTGTTCTAATAGTTGCAATGACATTTGTATTATACGGAAGCGCTTCATTTGGTTCCGCAAATACTCCTGCTCGGGCTTTGAGCATTGTTTGAAATTCCGTTGTTATAGCCTGAGGGGCTTCTATTTCTTTGACACTTGTGAAATTTACGGCTGGGCATTTTAGAAAGTTAATGGTCTCAGAACCATAGTTTGTTGTTAGTTTCTTATTTTTGAAGTCTAATAAAACGTTGGTTTGGTTTAGTAGGTCAAGTCCGATTATACCATCGAATGTCGTGAGGTTTGGTAATAAGAAAAATGTTGTCTTGGTATTAAAAAGGTGCATTATGCATTTCTTGTCAACTACGTTGTGGCCATGGATTGATTTTAATCGAAAGGGTTTTTCTACCGGCGTAATATTTTTTTAGTTCTTTTAATGGTCTCACGTAATTCTTTGAGGCTCCGGTATCTATTAGCAACTTTATGGTTTTCCCTGCTATCGTTCTCTCTATGAACGGGAGCAGGGATTTATTCCTAAAAAATTGACCTGGTCGTATTCGTCCAATTCATTGTCAACGTCTTCTGTCTCGGTTTCTGCGATCGCTTGGTATTCGCTATTGTCCTGCTCGTATTCTGTATCTTCTGTTCCTAGGTGGTTAACTCTTTGCTGTTTCGGTCCTGTGAACCGTGCGCTACCGCTGTTTGGTCGTTTGTTTGCCTGTCCCTGGTTATTGTAGTTTTCGTATTGAGTGCGTCGTTGTTGATTTGGCCACTGAGTCTGTTTCGAGAAGGTCGCGTTTTGTTGGTGTTGCGTAGCCTGTCTGAAGCGAGAAGATGAGTCAACGTCCATTGGTTCTACCTGTTCTTGTCGTGGTGAGAATTCTGGTCTTTTGTAGTGTGGGCTTTTTCCTGGTTGGTTGTGTTTTGGGTCTTGAGCTAGAGTCTTGTCTCTGACTTGCTGTCTTTGTTCGATCTTCTGCGCTTTTTCTTCTATACTGCGGGCGAAATTTGTGGCGAACATATAACGTTCATGATTTGACTCAACTTCTTGAGCCAATGCCAATGCAGAGGGAAGATCAATTGGTCTAGCTGAGAATAGGACATCACTTAAGGCCTTCCTGGTTCCTGAGATGAATACTCGCAGGGCGTCTGCTCTATATTTCTCATTTAGCGAAGAGGCAACGGTGGTGTCGTAGGTCATGATTGTCTTATTTATAAGTAAAGTCAGTTTCTTTTCTACCTCGTCGTAGTACTGCAGTAGTGTCAAATTTCCTTGGCGGAGTGTTGACATCTCCTGTTCAATTAAGTATATCGGTCGTTTGTCGGAGTACGTGAAATCTAACCGATTTATAATGGCCTTAAAATTTAGAGGAGTGTCGAAAGAAGAGAGTACCATATCAGCAGCGTTCTTAATTTTGTTTCTTAATATTCCCAAAGCTTGATAATGCTTTGAGCTACCATCGTATTTCTCATATACCTTGTATGCGATATGCGCAGCCTTTCTCCAAGATACATAAGTTTCGCTTTTTCCTTCAAAGTCCGGGAGGGACTTCATGATGTCAAGGGTTTCGTTGCAAATAACACCTATTTTGATTTCTGCCTCCTTGAAAGTTTCTACCTCGGGTGCGCTAACCTGTACTGAATTTATACGTTGTTCAATTTCGTTTAATTTTCTATCAAAGCTATCTTTTTGAGCAGCTAAAGCGCTTGCGACTGCGCCTTCTACTATAGCTTTTAATTGATCTGAATTCAAAGCCATTTTTAAATTTTCTGTGTTGTAAATTTTTCGAAAATTTGTTATTAAATCTTGTATTTCACTATCACTCATAGGGCAAGTAAAGACAGGGAATTTTGCGTGCTGCGTTTTTTGTTATTAATAATTAATATTTAAAGGTTGAAATTGTATTTTTATTTGTTTTTACTCCTTAATTTCTTTTTTTGCAATGAACACTCTACTCACATGTTCTTATATTATGTTAGTAGACTGTATGTTGTGTGTTTCTTCGCTGATGAGCCGCTTCGTGGTGGGTGTCTTCGCTGCGTACTGCTTCGTCTAATGCTGCTTTCTTTTTTCTTTTTTTTCGTTTTGGTTATGCGTTTTAGTTGTCTTGCTGTTTTTTTTTTTTTTTTGCACTTGTGGGGTATTTATCTCACTGAATGCTTGTTTTAATCGAAGTTTTAATTTCGTTTTTTTTTTTTTTTTTTTTTTTGGGTTCGTTTCGGTTGGGCGCCAATTAAGCTTTTTTGCTGTAGTTGTTAGATGTTAGTGTGCGGTGTTGCACAAAATGAGTAGACTTCAATAATCCCGTGGCGACGACCGACGTTCTTTATTATCAAAAATCAACTAAAGTACAGTGACATAAATTCTTATATCCAAAGCTAGCCCTAAACCCTGATTATGCTGACATTGCATATTTACGCGAGGCATCGCATTACTTCGGGCAACAACATTGTTGCGCGTTGGAGCCACTGCTGCTGTTGTGCAATATCCGCTGGGAACGGCTACATTCATGCTGACGGCGCGTGATCAATCTGAACATTTATGTTTTGCTGGTCGATTGTGTTAACTTATACATACATGTAAATATTTAAATATATTTAAAAAGCTGCGTAGCTCTAACTCAATTAGAAGCTGAGTTTGTTAGGTTATATGGAAATATATAAAATTTTATATAGATATACATGGATATATATATATATATATATATTGACAGCTACAGTTTTTTCGATTAATACTAATTTACTGGCTCTAGCTGAACTAGAAGCGGAGTTCGTTGGGTAAGGTGAAAATATGTGAAGAGTAGTAAAGAGCAGATTTATATTAATATATATAAATATATTGACAAAATTGCATAGTTCAAGCTCCACTAGAAGCGGAGTTCGTTGGGTAAGGTGAAAATATGTGAGGAGTATTAAATTATTGAGCGTATATAGATATATAAATATATATATATGAATATGTACAAAATTGCATAGCTCTAGCTCAAATTAAAGCAGAGGTTATTTGCATATATATAGGGGTATTATAAGATACCTAGATATATATCCATACATATACATAGAATAGAAAGCTACGGTCTTTTCAAATAATCCAAATTTCACAGCTCTAGCTCAACTCTAAGCTGAGTTCAACCAAAATTTTTGAACCAGAGCCTCTGACCCAGATGCAGATAGAGGGCAAAGTCGTTCGCTCATTTATCTGTCTGCTACATTATTATATTCGAAATGTAGCTCATCACAATCCACAATAATAATTGGCCTCATACTAGCTGTGATAAGAGGCTCGGCTGGACAATAGCATTTAGTATAGACTATGGCAAAGGCTAACACAAGCCAATAAAAACACCCACTTCAAAGGCTATGAATGTTGTTATTTTGTTGTTGTTGTTTTTGTTGTTTTGTTTTTTTGTTTTTGTGTTCGTTGTTTGTCTTTCATATAAACAATTAATTAAATCATTTTTTAACAAAATTATTCAATGAGACGACGAGAAGTCAACACTTTAGACTTTGATTCCGGGAAGGCAAGTAAAACAGACGAGCGAAGGCGCGTTGCGAAGGCGCGTCGCGACGGCTTATCAATATCATCAAAATATGCAAATACAGCTGAAACTATAATATATGCTGGAAATCAAATATAGTATTATTGTTGTTTCAAAGTTTAAAAGAGATACCAGACTAAATAACAACTATTTATTATTATTATTTTTTATTATTATTTATTTATTTATTTATTTTTTTTGTATTTTATTTATTTGAACTATGGAAAATACAATTTTATATACGTTTTATTTGATGTAAGATAAGACATAATCGTATAAGTTATAAACATATACGTATACTATGTTTTGGATAATTTTGTGACTCAGTTAACATCTAAAGCCAACAACAAAAAATATATTTATTTTTATATTTATATTTATGGTTATATGTGTATGTACATATATAGATAGTTTGTCATGGTTATGGATTTTGGGTATGGTCAATTTGTGTATATATGTAGATATTTGTAGATATACTTATGCTGAACTCTGTTAAATCTCTGTTACATACACACATACACATATATATTGCTGTCCAACTCTGTAAAAGCTCTGTTAACTTAGCTGGCTTGATGCTACCATATAGTGTGTTCCCTGACAATTCCTTAAGCTATACTGTATATATACATATATATGTATAGGTATATAGACATATCTCTATACATACACATATATATATATATGTATATATTCCTTTGCTAGTGCTTTTCAGCCAGCTGCTGCTGCCCTTTTCATTTCCATTTGGATTAGTTATATAAGTATATATAAGGTATATATAATTATTATCTGCTTTTTGTTTGTTTTTCTTTTGGTATGTTACATTTCCCTATCTAGATTGCCTTCAATTACCTTTTGTGTTGTTATATTTTGTGCCCATATTCGATTTATCTATATATCCATTTACTTATATACATCGCCCAACACATACGCGAAATGCCCAACCAGCTAAAGTGTGTGTTGCGAGTTGTATATGATATGATAAGCCTAGGCTAGTATTGATTAACATCAAATATCGTAGATATATATGTATATAGTTGTATAACATATCTATACGTCTATATCGTAGAGCATGAATAAGGGGTTCTTTCTTTTGCTTAAATTTACCTAACAAAATACCCTTGCAGCAGGTTAGTTAGAATAGTTTTTCTTTTTTTTTTTTTTTTCAACAAGTATTTATATAGTTAACAATGTTCTCAATAAATCGTACTTTATTTACGCATATATATATATATTTGGTATACTTTATATATAACTCATAGCTAACGGATCGACAGGTGCCGTAGGAACAAGCAAGGGCTTAGACACTGAATCGAATAAAATCGAATCGGTTCGGATCGTTTATATCTATATTTTGTAAAGCGAGCATCAGGAATTTCTGGAATTTCAGGAATCTTGACTAAGTGCTACAATATATGTAGAATTTATTCTGCGGGTGGAGAGTATGAAGAGCCCACACTGGAGCTCGCCTAAAATATATTGAGTTGAATCTATATTTTAAAAATAAGTTAAAACTTATACCATATTGATATACTTCAAGCCGAAATGGAGTTACCAAATGCCTTTTGAATTCAATAGAAGATATTGGAGAATCTATAATGTCTCTTAAAGATATTTTGCAAATATTTAAAAGCTGCGAAAAACAAATTTCATTTCAGACGATTAAAAAGGGATATCATATATATCCTAATCTGATATATGTAGAAATATCCATCTAATATATAGACTATATTAGGCATATACATTAAAAATTTCTTTGTTCAGGTAACTGAACAATATCAAAATACTCATCTTTCGACAGCTATATGAAGTATATCAGAATTCTACAACTATATCGCTTACACGTATTTATATATATGGAATATCTTAGGAATATCTAATATATTCAGAATGAACTTTCACTTATTATACTAAGAAAGTTCTCTGAATCGAAATCCAATCCAAGCCAAACCCACAGAACTGTGTTCTAGAAGCAAAATTCTCGTATATATGTATATATATATATAGGAGGAATGTCTAGTACATACAGCGCATTGGTACATATTCTTAACTATATATAACATATACATACACATACATATATATGTATAGCTACATAGCTAAAATCAACTTGAACAGAATCTAAGCTACGGTATATATGCTATCTACATATATGTGTGTATATATTCTTACATATCGGACGATTGTTAGCCTTATAGGAACATCATGTGTGTGAAACAAGGAAATTCTAGACTAATTGAATGAGACTCTGCAAGGATACGAAAGCTTCGACTGGCCGAAGCTAGTAGCTGTGCATGCCCGATTCTTTAGCTGGCTTACAGCCAGGGTATGCAAATGGTGCGACAGACGTCGCGTCTGTGCGGCTCCAGATGCGGCTCCTCCCCAGTGGGGCCGCCTCCGCCGCCCGCACCGCTGAACTTAAAGAACGAACTCCTTCGTCAGTGCTTGCGATGGGCCTGAGGCGAGTGCGAGGTCGAGCTCGAGCCGGTTTCGGGCAACGGCTGCTGGTGCAGCGGCAACTGTTGCTGATGGTGCAGCGACTGTTGCTGGTGGTGGTGGTGCTGCTGCTGCGATGCAGCTGTCAGCGTAGAGGCGCGTGCCAAACGCTTGGGTATGACAAATGGCGGCGGCGGCTGTGGCGTGTACTGCGGCATCGTTGAGTTCGCCGACGCCTGGCGCACAAAGCTGCGACTCGGCGACGCTTGCACCGAGCCGCTGCGCGCTATGGCGCCCGTGCGTGGCGGTATGGCCGGTGGCGGCCCGGGCGGCGGACCGCGCAGCTTCGCTGGCGGCGAGCAGCTCTCTGTGGAGGCCTGCGAGGGCACGCGCGGCGGCAGCTGCGGCAACTGCGGACTGGCCGCGGCCATAGCCGCTGGCAACTTTGCTTGCGGCTGAACTGTGGACATGGTGATGCTGGGCTTCTGCATGGGCACCGTATGCCGTATGGTTATATGGCCTGGCTGCTGTCTGCTAGCAGTTGCAGCACTTGTTGCTGCTGCTGCTGTTGTTGTTGTTGCTGCAGTTGTCGGAGCAGTTGCTGTGGCAGCTGTTGCTGCTGCTGCTGCTGCTGCTGTTGCTGCTGTTGCTGTTGTTGCTGCTGTTGCTGTTGCGGCGTTGGTCTTCTGCTGCTGCTGCTGCTGTTGATGCTTCTGCTTCTGCTGTGCGTGTATGTCCTGGATTTGTGGTGTGATAACCACCGGATTCTTCTTCTGATCCTGGCCAGCGGCCACATAGCTGAAGACGCACAGCACCGAGTAGCATATCTGATCCGACTGCATGACACACGTTACGTTAGTTGTTGTTAACTGTGTTTGGTTTGGCTGGTATTGTTTTAGCGAGTGGTTGAGTGGTTGGGTGGTGGGGTGGTGGGGTGGTGGGGTGGCTCAGTGGTTCAGTGGTGTACATAATTGGGTGTTTGATCACAACGTGTAACAAAAACCAACGAACGCACAACGGAACCCATAAAAATCATACGAATATTGGTATATATATATATACTTATATATACATTTATATAGAAAAAGCATGCATTGGAACAATGGAATGGAACACAACAAAAATTGTGAGCATGAGAGAACTGACAACAATTTGTGTACAACTTGTGCATGTTGTGATTCTGTTGTTGTTATTGTTGCTGTTGTTGTTGGTGTGGTTGTTATACACTCACACGCACACGCACACACACACACACACACACATACACACACACACACATACATACATACAAAGGCAAGGCAAGTTAAACGGATCGAACCGACTAAGACATACGCTGTTCACATTTCACTAGATCAACAGAGATCAGAGAGTTTTGTGTGATTGATTGATTGATCTGTCTAATGATTGAATAGTGATTGTCAAACTGTAAGCTGGCTAGTCTAATACAATGTGATTGCCAAACTGCAAACTTGAGCGACTAAATCTAAATATATTTTTACTCTTATGCTACATTCGACAAGTCAAATGGACTTTGACTTTTCCCAGCTACTCTCAAACTGCACATTGAAGCTAGTGATTGTCAAACTTTAACATAGTTCACAACTATGCTATGAGCTGTTACTCTTGCCCAAAGGGCATACAAATAACCAAAGCATATCAAAGCAAAGTAGAGACTTGAGCTTGCACTTATCAAAATTTCTTTACAATTTAAGCTAAACTAAGAAACAGAGTTGCTAAGCTATTAGTAAGTTATGCTAACAGTGGCTCGCAAACTGTAAGCTCTACACATGGATTGTCAAACAGTTAGCTACCTTTCAATGATCGCTCCAAAGTCAAAACTCTCTAATCGATGTGAACAGCGCAACAGAAAATAAAAAAAAAAAAGTTTTTAACAATTGCTATATAAATTTTATTTACAAAATATTGTTTGGTTTTTAATTTGTTTGACTATTTATGTTTTATGTTGTTTTGTTGTTTAGCTTAGTTCGTAGCTTCGATTGGAACATGTGAAATTGTTGCTGTTGTTGTTGCAGATGCTGTCGCTTGTTGGCCATGTTTCGTTGCCACTGTTGCTGCTTCACTGGCCCCATCGCTCCCGGGGCCCACAAGCGTCCGCTGCTCCTGCTTACCGTTCAGATGACAAATGTATGCGAAGCGCACGGACGTCACACGATGAAAGCTCAGCACAATTTCAGAGGCCTTTATTTGATTAATTCGATATATCAATTGGAATTATTCATTTTCAGTTTATCATGTTAGTAAATTATTTTATTTTTATTATTTTTTTTTTTATTATTATTAAATTATTAGTTTTTAAAAATTTATTTGCATTTACAATAAATTATTTATTTTAAATTTCATTTTGAGATTTTTTTATTTTTAATTTATATTTTTTTAATTGTTTAATTTTTTATCATTTATTTTAAATATTATATTTTATATTTGAAGTTTAAGTATTATAATTATAATGTAGTAATTGTATTTAAATTGAGTGTAAGTTTTGTATATGAAATATATAATTTTTAGATATATATTTTTATTTTATATATTAAATATATATATATATATATATATATTTTTTTTTATATATATTATTTATAATTTGATAGTTTATTTATTTTTTAAATTATTAAAATTTTAACGTATTTCATATATTCAATTTAAATATTTTTTAGTTATTTTTTTTTTACAAATATTTTTATTTTTATTTTATTTTCATGTTTCATTCGAGGATTGTACAATTTTTGCAGCGTGTGTTCATGTTGATGCGGTGAATGATTGGTGGATTGATTTGTGGTGTGATGTGATTGTGTTAGTTGCAGGCATGTTGTTTGTTGTTGTTATTGTTGTAGTAGTAGTTGTTGTTGTTGGTCGTATACATAGAAATGTTGACAAGGTAACGAAACGAAAGTGGCAGCAAAGAACGAAACGAACGAATAGAAAAAAGGTAAGGCAAATCAAACATAGTCAAATATACTTGATATGTATATATATATATGTGTATATTTATATATATTATTATTATGCTATAAATATATATACATATACAGAAGAAAATGAAGCTGTGTATGTATACCTACATACATATATACAGACACACATATGCGATGTGATGTGATGTGGATTCAAGTGCAAACAAAGTGCTTTATTAATTCAATTTTGTTTCAAAAATTTTATATACATATATATGTATATAGGAAATATATATACATATATAGGAATTTAAGAATTATGGTGCTGTTTGAATGCATGTAGTGCAGAGCGAGAATTGGAATAGTTATATATGGATATATACATATACATATATGCATATATCTATATATATATATATATGTATATAGACACTTACCATGCTTGACTGATATTTACGCTGTATGAGATTGCGTGTCTTGGGATCTGTGAAACGAGTGGAACGATTGAAATTAGTGAAACAGTTTAACTCGAGAAATATTATCAACTACTTACTATACTCCTCCAGTACGAATATGCCACCCTTTTGTGTAAAACACTTGCGTATATGATCCAAACGCACAAAGAACTGAAATTAATTTCGTTTTTGGGAAGAGAAATGGGAAATATATGAAAATATATTTTCGAGTAAATGCATATCAAACACAAATTAGAACGGAATGTAACGTAACGTAACGGAATGTAACGGAACGAAATGCAAAACAAAAACAAACAAAAAAGATAAACAGGGGGATCGGGGTAAAAACAACGGCAGTGAAACAAAGAGTATTTTTATTTTTTTAGTTCATTTCTTGTCACACAGTTAGAGTTTGTGGAAAATATATCATAATCAATTATCGGATAGGATCAATAACAGATGCATATATGTATATATATGTATATATACATGTATGCTATATACATATATATGCATATAGTGTGTGAGAAAGAGAGAGAGAGAGAGAGATAAATATGGTAAAGGAAAGCAAAAACGTTTGTTCTTATACTCGGTTTCATTTGATCATGTTGTCTTGTGTACGTGTGTATTCGTGTGTGTGGGTTGTTCAACTGTGTGTTGGTGGTACTAACATTCAATGCAACGAAACGGAATTGAAACACAAACTGGTAAACAAAAGCTAAATGCTACACAAGCAGCAGCACAGGCAAAAGCAGGCAGCGGGGCAGGCAGACATGCAGCAAACAAGCAAAGAAGCAAACAAGCAAAAGCAAAAAGCAACAGCGAGTGCCATAGCAGCCAGCTAGCAGCTAATGGTTAGTAAAATTGTACATTCGATTATACACTGGGAGAAAACAAGTGGTCCGTACTGTAGTTTTTCAGAGGGCAGAGTGAACAAAGAAAACGAATGGAAAACAAAGAGAAATAAGAAGAAAAAAGAATGCAACAAAACGGTATAAATTAATACGAAACAAACGAAAATGAAACATTGGATCAATGAAAACAAATCGATTGGAATTGAATATCGAAATGAGAATGCAACAAAAACAAGTGAAACGGTTTTCATTATATATCTATATTTATTCATATATATATATATATATATATATATATATATATATATATATATATATATATATTTATATATACACACTATATAGTCACTATATATATATGTATATATATATTTGTATATATATATATATATAAATATAAATATATATTTGTTGTTATTGCAGGTCGATAAATTGATCGATTAATATCGATTCACTAAGTTTAATGTTCTAATTAGCACTTGTGAGATGGTCGTTCATAAATTGTCTTTCGTATTTAATATATGTATATATATATATATATATATATATATATATATATATATATATATATATATATATATATATATATATATATATATATATATAGATATAAGTATAACTGTATTGATAAATATATTATATCAACTAATAGGCTGGGGGTTGAAGTAGTCGAACTATTCAATTAGAATTGATTTTCAAATCAATTTTCTTTTCTATTCGTTTTGCACTAATACAAAGGAACTAGAATGTGTGTGTGTTTATGTGTGTATATACGTATGTGTGAATTCAAAAATAATAGATAGTTTATGTAAGTGGATTAAATTGAAACAAAAAGATCTCAAGTGTGAGCAGGAATTAGGGTAGGCTTTTCATAGAATGTGAGACAGTTGCTGGTGTACATATGTATACAGATGCCCAATTCTCTATATATAGATAGAGATATAACATATATTAAAAAAATATATATATAATTGCGTGATTTTCTTTTCCCTTTTTTTTTTAGTTTCTTCTATTATGTTAAATGTTATAACTAAATCACAATAACAGCATGCCTTGGCTAATGTCGAACGGAACCGGCGTTTCTGAATGTGACAGAGAGTGAGAGAGGAGATAGGAGGAGGGCGCTAGAATAATATTTGTTGTTAAAAATTTTTCGACTACTTTCATGGCTGAAAAAATAAATAAATAAAAATCAACAAATAAAAAATTGGCAAAATAAGTGGAACGCAGGAATGAAACATAGAAAAGAGACAAAAGAGTGTCACAGAGAAAGGCAGAGAAAGAGGGAAACCTAAGAAGAGATTAATCATGAGAGGCAGATAGAGGTAGGACCGAGAGGGTTAGCAAGAGAGAGGGAGAAACGGAGAAGTAAAGCTAACGAAAGCTTAAAATAATTATTATATTGGGATGGCAAACGAATTTTAAGGTTCCAGATTTTATTTGGAAATTTTTCAGTTTTTCTTATTTCATCAATAATCAGAATTACATTTCTCAGATATAGTACTTCTTTGGTATTTCATTTTGTATTTTTGGAGATTTTTTGGTATTTTATAAACTTATCAGCTACAACTACAATTTGCGTTTAAGACGTTTGCGTTCAACTAAAACTACACAAGCAAAAATTATAAACATTAAATAGTATTTTTATATAATTTTTTTTTTTTTTTTTTATTTTTTTTTTTTTTTTGTAAGAAGTTTGGGATTTACGCTACAGTTTAGTGGTATGGTTCGAAAGTTTCAAAGAGCAACCAGCAAGCGCATTTTCAACGAACGTAAAACAAATATTGTATGATTAAATTTTTAGAGGGTCTTTCTGTTTACTTTATTTTTTTTTTTTTCGAATTCGTATTTTATACATGACTTGAAACACGAGCTAGCTAGGATTAATATACATATATATGTTTATTGGAAAATATTGGAACTCCATGCCGTCAAATTAGTATCTAGTGGTGCAATTCTTCGGCAAGCCGAGCAAATTGTTTGATTAACTGAGCTAACGATATTGAAGTTTGTAATTGATTTAGCTGCTCATCGAGCAGTTCCCAACTAATTTGGGGTACATTTTATTTATAGATTTTAGATTTTAGCTACCAGCTACAGCTACAAACTATATATATATTTATATATGTATGTATAAGTATATATATATATATATATATATATATATATATATATATATATATATATATATAAATTAGTGAGCAGATCTGTTTAGTAGGGCAGATAGCTCGGTGTGAACAGATGTGTGTGTGTGTGTGTGTGTGAGTGAGAGTGTATGGAGGTGTGTGTATGTGTGTTAACATTTAACAACTAGTGCCAACCAGAAGTCAAATAAAATCAAGAACAAACCACTATCTCCGTCAAACCGAAGCCGAAATACCCTTGCAGACTTCAGCTATTCAAAAAAAAAAAAAATCTAATACTTTAGTATTGGCAATGAAAAAAATCTTAATAAGAGCTTCCAGATTGGAAATCTATGAATTAGAAATAATCTATTATTGCTTTCAAGCAAAACAGAGAAACTATTTCACATAGCAAACAACTTGAACATAATAATATTGATCACAGTGATAAAATACTAAGAAATATACTACTATTTGCCAAGTATGTGCATTCATTTAAACAGTGAATCGAACCTATGGACGCTAAGAGGTTAGAAGACTATCAACAGTCAACTTTTTACAACATATATGTATATTATATATATTATCTATGCTCTATATTCTATAAATAGATCATATGGAAGCTTAAATTGTTTATAGGTTGGTAAACAAGTTGAAGGACAGACAAGAAGCGATAACGCTTTGCAGCCTCTTCCTACATCAAGTGGTTGAGTACACAAACATTTGCTCTACCTCTGCAAAGGGCACACAAAACGTGTCAGTTAATATGTGGTGTGGGCGTGGGTGCGTGTGTATGTGTGTGTGTGTGTGTGTGTGTGTGTGCAGGGGTTTGGCAACCAGGTGGAGCATGCGCGGATTTACGACCAGTTAGAAGGCTGTTTAACATACATACATATACATATGTAAACATAGCTCAGACTGACATAGAATCAAAATAGTATCAAAAATGTATGTATGCACTGGGCATTTGTGCTGTACATTGTGTGACTGGAACAACAGCAAAAACAGCAAAAGAATGTTATCGTTGTCGTTATCGGTATGATTATCGATAGCAAATGAATCGAACAGCGCATGCTGAAAACTGGTTGAGTGGCCCCGCCCCAAAAAAAAAAACACACAAATAAACAATGTGTAGCTGCTGAGTGTAGAAATAGACGAAGAGCGAAAGAGAGGCAGATAGATAAAGATCGAAAGGGATATAACTTAAAATGTTGTAGAACTATACAAACATTCAGATATATGTAATATACTTAATGTTATGTACGTATAAATCTTTAATGCTTGTATTAGTTCCTCTAACAGGTTTTGGAAACGAAACACAAAATGTGAGTAATTGAAACGAATTTAAAATCATAGAGAAAAAGACAGGGATAGAGAGAGAGAGCGAGAGATCAAGAAAGAATTTTGTTGGAGAAAACGTGAACAAGAAGTTTTACGGCTCTGTTTCAAACGTAACAAACAAACCAACCATCCAACCAACAGTTTCGATCACAAAATAATCTAAAAACGCAAAATCTCATAAATAATATACATAGTTCATTGTTTTATTTTTTATATATATTATTTAATTCAAAAATATATCAACTACAAATTTTTTTTCGGTTCTTTAACAATTTAATACCATTTTGTTTAGTTTTTGTTTTGAAACAGAATACGGTAAATGGAAACCCAAAAAGTGAGTTGAAATATGGAGAAAAGAAATCATAAATATTTTTGTAATTTTTAAACGCAAAATTTGGCTTATAAAGAGGTGGGATTGGCTAGGGGAAGTGTGGGAAGGGAAGGGCGGACTTGGGGCTTAAAGAAGAAGAATAGTTGCTTATAAATTTAAATTCAAATATAACAAGAAATTTGTTCATTGCAATACCTCGAAATCCTTTTATCGTATACGATATATTTCAGTTCGTATTCGGTTCGTTTTTTTTTTTTTTTTTTAATTTTTTTTTCAGTATTTTGTTTAGTATTTTTAGTTTCAATTTTTTTGCATGTAAGTGAGGTAGACCAATCATTCGAATTATTCGTAACGTTTCGATTCGTAGGGAACGTGATTAAATCAATATCAATATCCACAAATGGGAGAGCAACGGAGCAGCGTTCCACGTACGACAAAAAACATTAAACAAACAACAAAGAAAATTAAATAAAAAGAAAGTTGACAAAACGCTTTTGTTTCGATTTTAATTTTAGATATTTTTTGTATATTTTTTTCTGTTTCAAAATTGAAAATAGAATTTCTAGCGTATTTTTTATATTTTTTTGTTTTTGTTTTGTAGCACACTAGGGAGAAACGATATGAAATGTGGTTGTTGTTGTTGTGTAAAGAGTCGTAGTTTTTTTTTATTTATATAAATATATTTGTTGTTGTTTTTTTTTTCTTTATTTTTGTTGTACATTTTGTAATTTGGGACAATGGGGAGGGCAGCTAAATCTTAGTTATTGTTGTTGTTGCTGTTGTTGTTGTTGTGGTTTATTATTCATACATGAAAATAAGAAGAAGAAGATAAATAAGAAGACGAAGAAAAAAATCAAAAAAAAAAATTGAGAGCAAAATATACTTGTATACATAGGCGAAAACTAAATAATTAATAAGTCGAGAAGAAAATTAAATGTAGAAATCTGAGCTGCAAGAAGCTAACAAACTTTGTATATAAGAAAGAGAGGAGAATGAAAGAGACTCGAAGAGAGAGAGAGAGAGAGAGAGAGAGGGAGGGAGAGGCAGATAGAAGACAAGTGAAGGAAGAGAGCGAGAGAGACTAAATTACAAATACCGAATGTACCGAATAAATAAATTAAAATAACGGATATTAAAGGCAAATCATAGATAAATCAAGGAGCTCTAGAGACAAACGATAAACCGCAAATATACACAAGGACCATCTCAAAAGTGACCAGCTTTAGTATATGCACAAAAACAACTGGTATTTTGTACATACATACACATATATGTAAATATACTATATATGTTAGTTTTACTTTACATAGGTACTTTTTTTTTTTTTTTTGGTTGGGGACGGCGTTACGCCTAAATATAATTAAAAGTAAATCAAATATAGCATGGGTAAAGACAAATTATGTCAAGAAAAACGCATAAGAAATAGGGAAATAAACAGTATAACGGTAAACGATTTAACGACTCGCTCGCACACGCACACACACATAGACAGACACGTGCTCTGTCGTCTCTTCGGCAAAGGACATACGAAATAAAGCTGGGCGGCGGCTGTTCGTAGAATATACATATAACGGCATTGCGGTATAACAGTATAACAGTGAACTAGTAAGGCAATTATAAACGTATAGCAGCATTCCAACTATAATGGGATAACTGCTTCACAGTGAAACAGTTTTACACTTGAAATGCTTATACTTATAACAATATTACTGTTATACTGTATGCCAGTATGTCTGTATATGGATATTACAGTATAATATTCATAGCAGTATAGCAGCTATGACCATTATGATACTTATATTAGTATAACAGCTTCACAGTGTAATAGTTTTACAGTATAACAGCTAAGACCGTTGTAGCACATGTAATATTATAACAGCTTTTCAGTATTAGAGTATAACAGCTTTACAGTATAACACTTTCACAGTATAGCTGCTATAAAAGTAGAACAGTTTTACAAGAAAACGGCAATAGCACTAAAACAGTTATAACAGTATAACAGCCTTAGATTATAACTGCATACGTGTTATAATGCACTCTCAATTTAAATACAGCACAATGTAAAAAATAAAATAAGAATTAAAACAAAATAATAAAAACTGAGGAGCACAAAGGAAACTATGAACTAGTGATTCGAAATAACATTCACACCACGATCTCTCAATATGAAGGCTGAATATATATATTTAAAAAAAAGTCTTATAATATTTATATATAGCGCTTTCAAGTAGATATTTCCTTTTTTTAGGTTATTGTTTGTAATAGTTGTGTTTCTCTTATTTGTTTTTGTTTTTTTTTTTTTTTTTTTTAATAAAAAATTGTACACATTACAAAATAGTAGCGAAAAGAATTTGAGAAAAAATTTGATGACAATGAAGAAGATTTATCTGAAATCGCTCAAAACGGAAAAATACAAACCAAGATATAAAATAATACAAAAAAATACAAAAACATAATAGACAAAAAATACTTTAAGATAATGCCCAGATTAATGTATATAGTAAGCAAATTCATAAGATGATGTTAGCAAATGTATCGAATCGATTAGAATAATAATTAAATAAAGTAGAGAGAGTATAATGAATATAGCATTCAGTACATTCACTAGCACAATATATGGATTATATGATATATGGTTGTTTTTTTTTTTTTTTTTTTTTTTTGGAATTATTATTATTTTGATTAGTATTGCTTAGTCCGATCGAAAGGGGTTTCGATGTTAATTGATTGTTGCTCTTTTTATCGCATTTACATATGCATTAGACAAGTAAATAGATATATTTATATAGGAGGTCGAGAGAAAATGAATATGACAAAATAACTAAATAAAAACTCACAAATAAACCGAAACATGAGAGAGTTACGAAATGTATAAAGTATTTGATTAAATGGAATTGTGTATATATATTTTATCGATATTTGTAAGGGGTTAGACTCGGGCTTGTGGATAAATGATATTGAAAATTATATAATAAAAAAATCCCAGGAATTGGTTTAAATTATAATCTGTATGCGATACTACATATTCAGACTTCGATATATATGTATATACATATGTACATATATATATACATATATGGGATATTCGGGATACTCGGGCGGATTAGTTATCTATTTGGTATTAGAGAGATATTAAGGCAAATGCCTTGATGGGTTCTATGAATCAGACTAGACAGTCTTGGCACATCGTCCAGCTACAATGTCCAAGTAGTAATTCCATGGAGCTCAGTTCAGCCTAACTTATGCTAGGCAATATCCTAAATGTGATAGTTCAAAATTAAAACGCAAAATATTGAGAAGGTCCTTGTATTATGTAAAACTAATGTAGGTATATATAGTAGATCAATTTGCCTTGCAACGATACGAAAAAAATAAATAAATAAATAAATAAATAAATAAATAAAAGGAAATAACCAATTAGATAACGAACCAATAGACCAAAGTGAAACAATACGAAACAATATGTATACAAAGTTGATAAATCGAAGACAAAAATGATAATGAGAATGAAAACGAAAACAAAAATTAGAATCAAAATTCGCCCAAAAATGTGAATACTTAGTATTTTAGTATGTATATTCTTTATATGGAATTTGTACTGTACTTTCTCTTCTTGTAGAATGTTCATTGAAAGGAAAATATATATATAATGTTGTTGGATATATATATATATCAGTCACATATATATAGAGAGAGAGAGAAGTTATAAACGCCCAATAGGTACACTTTTGTTTCTTGGGAATTTTGTTCGTTGTATTTGGTCTACTGGAACATTTTTTGTTGGTATTTTTGGGCCAGCGGCTAATGGTGGACGACAACACCAATTGCCGGACATGACGAATATATATGTATATATAGATATTTGTATGTATATATATATTGATATCGGGTATACATAGTTAGGTAATACATTTATGTATGTAAATGTCTTTAGCTATATATGTTAAGAGCTGAGCTGAGAGAGTGAGAGAGATACAGACAGCGAGAGAGAGAGCGAGAGTAAGAGAAAGAGAGAGAGTGTGACTCCGAAAAGCTTCGTAATGAATTCGATTTGTTTTACTATGTCTGAGCTTTTGATGTTAGTATGTGTCTATTATATGGGGATGGGAATAGTTGGGATCTGGGTCGAGACTTTACGTATTTCGGGTAGATTTGATGCTTATATGTTTATGGTACTTTTTTTTCCATGTAGATGCAGAGAGTTGTACACAAAACGAGTATTTTTAGAGAGCGGCGAGGTATATGTATATGTGTACGTGTATATGTGTGTATGTGTTTGTATCTATATGTATGTGTTTGTGTCTACTGGTGTGCGTGTGCGTGTGTGTACTTAAGAGAAAGAGAACGACACTTACCTTGCTGTTGGAGAACAACAAACCGACACCCTCGAGACAGACCTGCAGCAATCCACCCTCGCCTGTATTCATATCCTGCACAGGAAACTCACCGCCCAATTCGGGCACATTTGTGGGCGTGCCGCCGCGTTCCATGGCCTCCTTGATGCAATTATACAGCTCCTTGCACTGTCATATTAAACAGTTCACATAATTGATATATATATTATATGAGACTATCAATATGACCCACCTTGCGTGTATAGTATTTGTGTAGCTGTGTCTGTCCGCCGTTGCGACGCCACAGACAGAGCAACTTGGTCTTTGGCGAATAGGTCATATTGACCAGACGCTCATACCACCAACGCTCCACAATTGTGCCATCCACGGAGCGCAACACCAGACCATCGTCACGCACCTCCATGAACCGCAACGGACCATTCACATCGATGCCCTGATGCACCGTAAAGCTCTGACGGTGTAGCAGTCGTGAGCCCAAAGGCTTCAAATCTATGTCATTGCCGTTCTACGAAAGAGAAATTATAGATATTCACTAAATGGGTATGGAATAGTGGAAATAGTCAAAATATTCTACAATTATTACACTTCGACATAAGATAAGATAAGTAAAGAATAGATATACTCCGTTTCACACATACCAGATTGTTGATCTGATCGACCACATTATGCACCTCCTGCGAGTAGACCAGCCCGATATGACTCTTTCCCAGGAGGCGGCGTATTTTGCGTCTTATCTCATCCTTGGGCACATTCAACATCACCAAGATGGCGGTCAGATTGTAGAGCATGGTGCTCAGCAAGCGATCCTCATCGTGCTCGAGACGTTTGCGTTCCGACTCACTTAGTGACTTATAGCGCTCCATCATTTCAATGGGTCCCTGAATGGAATGGAATGGAATGGAATAGAATAAAAATCAGTATGATTAACATTAAGATTTATCCGCAGAGAACCTGATCCTGATCTCACCTGATCCATTCCGATCATATCACGCTCCTGGCTGACAGCATCCAAGAAGGCATCCTCCCAGAACTGCATTTGATTCCAGAGATTGAGCCGATCCTTGCCTAGCAGGCCCTCAAACAGATATACCCGCGGACTATCAGGCGATGGTGAGGACGAGGTATTTATTAAATGTCCGCCCGTATAGCGGAAGCCGGCGCTGAGCGTCGACTTGCCCGACCATAGATTTCCGGTGCTCTTTTTCGAGTCCTTCGATGTGGTGGTCTGTGGAAGATCAGCATGCAAAGCGAACGAGTATTAAATGCAAATCGAAAGTTCGGAGAGAAGCCAATTCAATCGTATATAGATGATCGATGCAGGTATTGAGCCAAAAGGTGAAACAACAACAGCTACAACAAGTTGATAAGTGCGTTCCTTATGCTATGTGTTTGGGACTCGGGTTTGTTGGGTGAAGACGAGTTGAGGGGATCGATGTATCGATTAATCGACAGATCCATGATTCAAACGGGACATCCATCTGTGTACTTACATTTTCGTATTCGGTGTCTGAGACTGTGGAACGGCAGCTGGATGGCATGCGAACGCTCAAACTGCCAGCTGGTAGCAGATCACTGACTACGGATAGCGCGCCCGTGGAGCCAGCAGCCTACGAATTACGATATACATATGTTTATATATAAGTGGATACGAATATACGATATTCGATATTCGATATACGATATACGTTACACGATAAACGATATACGTTATGCGGCATATGATATAGGTTAAGCGCTAAACACTTCCACATACGATATACCATATGCGATATACGGTATACGATATACGATATACATTATACGATACACAATATATTGTATGCGGTATACGAAACACATTACTCGCCATACTATATGTGATATACGATATACGATTAAATACATAAGATAGTCGATATATGATATACGATATACAGATGTACACATTATACGATACATAATATTGTAGGCGATAAACGATATGCAATTCATTTATATAGTAAGATGCGTTATACGATTGACAATACGATACGGAGCGTAGCCCGATTATGCGACTACACAGATTAACAATATACTGATAAGCGCATTATGCGATATATAGTTAGACAACGATTACGATTGCGATAGCATTAGCGATGCACGATATTGACGCTGATACACTGAATGGACGTGGGCATGGGGGCGTGGGGGCGTGGCGAATATGATTCAGTTATTTGCTAATTATGTGAATATATGTGTGTATATACTATTACAGATATGTGTGTATGTAAGTATTTTTGAATATTTTGGTGGGCATCGGTAATATTGAATGATATATGTATGTATACTTAAGCGCAGCCACTCACATCGGAATCGAACGAGGTCAGCATATTCTTCAAGGCACTTCTCTTCTGCGACAACATATCCTTGAACATCTCCGTGGTCGACTGCCCATCCTGACTATCAGTCGACGACAGGCGACGCGCTGCTGCTGTTGATTGCGGGGTCGGAAGAGCCGTATGCGTTGAGCTCTTGCGCGACTCCTGTGGCGAAGCCCACTCACTGCCCAGCCCCGAATGGGAGCCATTCGGGCTGCTCGGCGAACGTAGATTCTCACGACTGCCCATGGGACTGGCCGCATGACTGGACAGCAAACTGGATGACATATCGCTGCCCTCATTAATTTCCTTGCTCCAGTAATGTGTGTGCGCCACCTCCATTAGCTGGAACACCGAGGCCATGCCACCGAGTCCAAAGTTGCTAAATGTCACATCCAGACCGCCAGCAATGGCTTGCACACACTTCAGCATGCCCTTCCACACGGGCTTGGTAACACACTATGGGAGATGAGAAAGAAAAATTTGTTTATTATTACTGCAACAACTCCTATCATATATCATTTTAAATATCTTCTTCAATCTCCATCCGAGTTAAGATCTAATTCAGTCTCTCCGTTTTCGATAAGCCTCGTACTTTTCATATACACAAAAATCTTCCCTAGCTTTCACATCTCTAATTCATAGGATATCCAATGTGTTGCATCGAATTTAAAATCCCTTCCATATCCTTACCACATCATCAATATGATCGTCTGGGGCTATTTTCTTGTCCAGCGTCTTGTTTAGTTTGCTAAGGACTAGCGTGCGATAGGATTCATCCTCCATCAGTTTCTTGAAACGATTGAGCTTTAGCCAACCTATGCCCTCGCCCGCCAGCACCTGGGTGGTGACATCCTTGAGGAATGCCTGATTCTCGGCATTGCTATGCGAACGTTCCTGGTTCTGTTGACGCGTTAGATCCTCCTGCGTTTGTCGAGGGCCCGCATGCTTAATAAGTGGCGTACGCTCGACGAGTCCTTTGCGACTGGGAAAAGGATCAAAGTTGATGCCCGCCTTATTCTTAGGCGAGGATGCATTAGCCGGCTTATGATGCACTGCCGCCTGCTTCTGTTGATTCTCTGTTGGGTGGCATAAACACATATATTAACTGGATTAGAATTAATTTGAGGTAAAAAACTTACTCTTGCCAAACATGCCCGAGAACATGGTTGTTGTAGAGGAGGCCAATCCATTGAAGTCGGTGCCAATGGAGGAAAAGAAATTGTTGCCTCCGCCGGCTTGTTGCACCTGCTTCTGTGTGGCCAGCTGCGAGTTGGTCATGGAGGGAGCATTGCTTGTGCCAGCAACTGCCTGACCATGTTCGTCAATCTTGATGATGCCCTTCTTGGTGGCCGCCTCCTTGGCCGTCTTGGTTAGATCACCCAAAGTCGACTTGCCCACATAGGTGAGATCCTCCAAAGTGTTTTTGCTAACGCCGGCTGCCTGCTTAGACACCTCCAGCGCCTGCTTGGAGGCCTCACCAGCCGCCTTCTTCGCATGCAGCGTAAACTGTGAACAGCATAGCACATCAAATTTAGTAATCGATCTATTTGAATACTACAAGCGATTACTCGAGTGCTAATACAAAACAACAGCGCAGAGTGCAGGTTAATGGCAGCCAAGGCAACTATGTTAAATACTGAGGATGGGCTTATATCGGTTAGCTACAAGGGGTTTCAGGGTTATCAGCTGCTGATGACATCAGCTAACTATTTCCTACAGGCCGTAAGCAATAGCTGTAAAGCTAAAGCTAATGGGATCTATAGTTAATATTATATGAAATATCATATTCACATTTTTTTTTTTTGGAATAGGTTAGATTAGTAATTAATGTTATCAAACAATCATATGTATTACTAATCTAGCCCATTATTAGTTAGTGGGTCATTTAATCGGCCAGTTAGTCAGATAATCAGTCAGGAGGCACCACAACTAAATTGAACTAGACTGTGAATGCTTCAAGCATGGACATGAGCATAGATGTTATCAAAGAATCGAGCTATCGATGCGATTGTCGTGTGTGTCTGTGTTTGTGTGTGTTTACGTGTGACTGTGTGTGTGTTAAATGAAAGCTGTATATGGGTAACGTGAGATGTGAGTGGCTGAGTACCAACCTTTTCGAAGGTGTGTCGCATTTTGTCATCTAGATCTTCGTCCAGTGCATGCTATACTTAGTTACACATTCGTTAACACGAAGTAGACACATAGAACGTGCGATTTGGGTTTATCGATATCGATGACAAACGTAGCGTTTGCATTTTCATATAATCAAATATCGATTATCATATAGTCAAATAGTAAAAATTGTAAAAAAAAAAAAAAAAAAATAAATAAATAAATAGAAAATGAACGACAAAGAGCACAACAACACATTGAGTTCCACAATGGATGCACAATACAAAAATATACCAAAACTGCATCAAGCATTCAACTCACCTTGTCGACGTGGGCGAGCAGACCCTCCTGGCTGCTCTGGCGCGTCGTCTCCCGCACCAGCTCCTTGGCGTGTGATGCAAAGTTCTCGAACAGCGAACTCTGCGAGCTCTGGCGACCCGGACTACTGGAACTGGAACCGGAACTTCCTGTACGGGCCAATATATTGCTAACACCCGGCTGCTTGACGGGCGGTGTGAGCGGTGGCTGAAAGAATTAAATATTTTAATTATCTTTATATTAAACTATATGAACTAAGACTATAAGACCTAGTCCAACGATTCTTTCTCTCTCTCTCTCTCTCTCTCTCTCTCTCTATCACACACACACTTACCGGTATCTTTTTCTCCGCACGCTCCACATCGCTGGTATTACGCTGCAATTTGTTGCTGGCTATGCTCTTGCCAGTCACCGTGGATGTTGTATCCGACTCCGCCTCCAGACTGGCCATCTTGATGGTCGCCTCGAGTCGCATAGCCAGTGGCGTGGCCAGCTCAAAGGCGCCCGGTGCAGCCGCCGTTGGCTGCTGCCCTGACTTGGGCTGGAAGTCAAACTCTGAGTCACGATTGAAACTGGGCGAACTCAAGTCCGAGCGACTCGATGAGGAAGACACTGGCGAATCGGCTCGCTCTTCATCGTTCTTGCTTTTCGCGGGTCCGGCCAGACCCTCCGGATACTGTAGCTTACTGGGCGGATGATAAACGAGAGCCGGATCCAGATTTGAGGATAATGTTTGCGGCACGACATGCGGCCGATTGTAGGAGCCGAAAACGTCGTGTAGACTGGGCGACAGATCCGAAGACGCCATCTCGGAGACAAAATCACTTAACGAACTATACGAAGAGCTGCTGCTGTCGGCACCCTCCGAATCCGAGCCGCTCTCATCCGTGGGCTGGCACTCGAGCTGTTTGAGAGAGCGCAGCGCGCCATTCAACGAGCTGCCATCGTCCCACACGGAGAAGCGTATGGGTGTTAGACTGTGGGCGAACCACTTGGGCTTATCGCCCACCTGCATGGGATCCATGACACCCGTCTGCACACGCAGGAAGGCAACATTTGTGGGAGTTAGCGACCATTCCGCCAGGAACTCAACGGCCTGCGTGCGTGCAAACTGATTGAGGAAGATCGAGGCACGGGGACGTGAACGTAGAAAGCTATTGATCTGGAAGGCGACAACGGGCCGAGGATATAGACGAAGTGTGCGCGTATGTTCGGCGAAGTTTGCCAACGTATTTTGGGCATTGAAGAACCGGACCATTGCCACACGTGTGGCCACATCCACCGAATCCACATCGGTGCCATAGACAAATGGATTCAGGGCTGGCGAATTCATTGGACTAGGCTGGCGGGACAACATGGCGCCCTGGGCAGACACCGAATTACGCTGGCTGGCATGGGCGGAATGCGGAGGCGTTTGCAAAGGCAAACGCACTTGGGATACCCTAAACCAGAGACGAGGATGAGCAAACTCAATAGCGATATATATCGGATGACTTACCCCAATAATGGCGGCTCCTGGAGACTATCCCGCACCGAGGGCAGCAGCTGCTGTGATGAGACAGCCTGATTGGATGCTGTCATCGATGTCAAAGCCTGTTATGAGTAATCAAAGCAGTCGATTTAGTGAGCTCAACTAAGATAAGAAGACATTTTGGCTGCAAACTTCAAAATGGCTAACTATAAGAAGGATTACAGCGAGAGGGTGGGTAGGTCCTTTGGGATTAGCTAGTTACAAGATCTATCTATATATATATATATACAAATATATAGAGAGTGAATATTATAATTAAACTTTTCTCAAGAAGCATGCACACAGCAGAAGACGAAAAGAAACACTCCAGAGAGTTAGAGAAAAGAGAGAATGAGACTTTATACTGCTGTAATGAAGATCCGATTAAGGCTCAATGATAGAGTAGAAGATTTGTAGAAGAGAGTATGAGTATATATGGATGTATATGGATATTTCTGTAAAATAAATCAATTCAATTGAATTTTATAATAGAAAAAAACTATAAATCATAGATCTTCAATAGATTCAAGGTAAAATTAAAATAATTCCTAGAAATATCCATATGCGTCTATGATTATATACATAACTAATTAGTTAAACTTGCGAAAGAATAATACTTTTTGGGGATATATGTATGTCCCTTTTCGGTTTAAAATATGACTGTATGCATGCATTTGTTTATATGTATATAGATCAGATTAGATAGGTTAGTGGTATAGGTATTGTTTATAGTATAATACAACAATCGACAGCAGTATTATATAGTTATTTGTATGTACAGAACGCTTGTAACTCGAATGTTCATTATGTAAATGATAAAATGTTATAAGAAACATAAAAATGTTATTTAACATATGTGAACGATATTTACACCAAGTCCAGCTTCATCCATAAGTAGCATAGCCTGCAGTAGTAGTAGTAGTAGATGTTGTTGTTGTTGTAGTTGTTGTTGTTGTTGTGATCAAGTTTAACAAATTCGTATAACAGATAATGCATGAATGTTAGAAGTAGAGTAGTACAGCGTATTAGCGAAGTAAAAGCCACAAAACGATAGAGACAAATACAGAGTGGTCGGGACGAAGAGAGAGAAAGAAAGAGAGAGATAGAGAAATTGAGTGACAGTGAAGGTGAGAGAGAGAGAGAGAGACGTAGAGCAATAATAGTATGAGAATAAATGAGTATAAGAAAAAGACAAAGAAAAGTTATGCTCAAATCATATATATGGACTTCTCTGTAAGTGTAACTCCAAGGCGATATAGACAAGTATTATATATAGATATTACATATGTTTAGAGCACAATCATACAAAATTGGGTAGAAGAGGCAAAACAAATTTAAATAGTACAGTTAATCAACGATTTAAACCGCTGAGCAATCGATATGCGAACTTCATTACATCGCATATCGATTAGCTTTTATTATAGACGATCAAAGCGTTTTCCATATCAAGATATACACTTATATATAATATATGACATTGTATATATGTATATATATACACACATATACATATGTATATATACAATAGGTTCAAGCGGTTGTGCGGGTTTGAAAAAATGTGTTAACAATCATATAATAAAATAAGTGACTTTTCTAGTCGCAGATGCCCGACTAGCTAATACCCTGCGCCCACATTGATATAGAATATATACATATACATCAAATATTTTATCTTTAAGACCTTAAGACATTGTGTACTAAGACATGTGTACTTGATGATACAGATTAGGAATATCTACATATTTTACATATTTCCTTCATATAAGGTTTCTAAACAGATTTAGGGAATATATATATATATAGGTATATATCATATACCATATCATACACTTTATGAACGATTCCCATGGGCGCAGGGCTTTCACATAAATACAATATATTAAAATAAAACAATTTGAATAGAGTATGTTCCTTTCCGTTGACATATCCTTATCCATTTGCTCAGTTGAGTCATACGAAAAATCATGCACGACTTAGCTGTCAGTTTTCCGTTCCCCCTGCCCCCATTCAGAACAAATGCATACGTAACATTAGAAATTTTGTTTGTGGTTTTGTTTCTTTTCATCGGAAATACCCAATTTCCCGATAGTTAAACAAACCAAAAACAGCATAATAATACCAGAGCAAAAACAATAAGAAGAAGAAATAGTTACAGATACAGTTGAATATGTCAAGACGTAGAATTGCCACCATGTCTACAGCTGAGGGCACATCTCTCCGAAATGCAGAAGGCATACGAAAATTCACCAACTCCATGGACCCGCGCTTGGATCAGCTGGTTGTGTACAGCTCCGTGCTGGAGCATTTGCTGCAACAGAAGCGCCACTTTGAGCAGGAGCGCGACACGGAGCAGCTGCGGCTCGAGCGGTTCAGGTGCGAGGGTGTCAAAGATAATCGCATTCGCGTGCAAATGCAGGTGGTGAAAAAGGTGCAGAGCATGCTCCCGAACATTGTATTCAAGCTGCGCAACGAGTACGACAAATTCGATCGCTTTCTGCATAGAGAGAAGGGACTCCAAAACATAAATCTTTCTCTTTACGACAAAGGTCTGCAGTTGCTGAATTTGTGCAAAAAGAATCTAGAGCAAACTTTATAGACATGGCTGCACTCCCGTTTTCGCATATTCCACACGCGAACCCACTCCCCACCACACGCACACATAGCTCATGGTTTGCCCCAACTCCCAACCAACCAAGCTTCAGTAGAAGTCTCAATGTATTTCAATTGATCCAATCGGCGAACCCAAGTAGGGGCTTACCTGCTTCAGATGATTCTTCAGTATAGTGCCCTCCGGTTCGGGCAAGGGAGGTATCTCATCGTAGCCACCCGTTGGTGGTGTCAGCTTGGTAGAATCCAAATCCACAACCCATATATCATCGGGCAGCCTGCAATTTAAGAGATGGCTATATTCGTTCTGGATACCGTATACTATAGAGACTATACTATTAGAGACTCTTAGACAGACCAGACATTGCCGGGTACTAAGCAACACCCTACCAGGCAGTGTCGGGCACTTCCAGTCTCTAACAGGCATCGTCGACTATAGTGGACACTACAAGGTACTACCGGGTACTATCAGGCAAGGATCGACTGGTCACTAAGTGAATAACTACGCCTAGCCAGACATTACCTGGCACTACCAAGTACCACCAGCTATAGCGACAGCAATCGGGCACTATATCAGGCATTACACCATTACGGGCACTACCAAGCACTTACCTGAAATTCTTTTTATAGATTAGAAAGGAAGCTGGCACACCGATGACAAAGGGCGTGGGCGCGAGCAACAGCTGCTCGGCACAGCTGAGGCATGTGGGCAGCAACGGTATGACTGGGAACATATACTCCAATGGGTATAGCATTGTTACGAACGCCATTACCGACATGGAGAGTGCATTATAGTCGCGCGATTGGAAGAGCACCTTATTCTCCAGCATTATCAGTGTCCACACCTTCAGACAGGTCTCCACACCCAGCAATTCCAATGGCAAGTGCAACGGGAAATCAACGAGCGAAAAGCGCGTGTGATCCGGTAATGCAAACAGCAACGGTTCGTGTACAGTGGGCGACAGCACCTCCACCTAAAAGGGAAAAACAAAACATATTCATTAATAGCAGGTCCAATAGATAATTGTAGTGACTATTGTTTAACACATATCGAGTGCTCTGTAAACAGATATTATATGTCAAAAATAGAGAAACGACCACATTTCAGTCGACTTGCGTATTTAATAGGTTGTAATATACATGCTCAAAGAGATCTAGGTAGATCTAGCTACAGACTTGAAAGACTACAATCAGACAGTTCAATTGTTTCCCTATCGGATATATATCTTGCTCTATCGATCATCCTTAATGCAATGTGGCCCAGTCACAGACTTAAACATTGATATTTACCTCGACACGCGTAGAGCCTGGCACCGGCACCGGCGTAGAGAGTAAACGTAATATCCACGTCTCGATCTCCCGCACATCGTGCAGCACAATGGAGGGTGTCGCCTCACTGACGTGCCCCGTCAGCACCGTCCACACATTGTCCCGATTGAGTTTCTGTGAGGCGCCCACACGCTTCGGCGACGACGACTCGTTGCAGGCGTCGATGAGCTTCTTCAGAATGAAGAGGCACTCGCGAAAGGTGGTGAAGAATGGATGATGTGATATGATGCAGAGAGATGTTAGGGATTGATTGCGCAGTTTGGTGCGCTTACGTGACGCCCGTGGCGATGGTGAATGACTGCCGCCCGATTCCGAGTCAGCCGATGGTGCCATCAGGCCCAGTTTGGGCACTGAGGAGGCTGGATGATGATGCGAATGAAGACGCAGCTGGTCAGAGTCGCGACGCGAGGTCAGTTCACGATCCGAATCACTGGGCGCTACGTTACTTCTGTAGTCGCTAGAAGTAGTTAAGAGGCCGTAACTATTATGGAAGTGGTTTAAAAATCGGTTAGATCATAAAAGCCAAAAGCGTATTATAGCCAACCAGCATTAGCAGCAGCACCCCGCCGCCTGTCTGCCTGCGCTGCGCACACACTTGCCTGCTAAACGCCGAGTCGGAGCTGCGCTCCATGCTCTTACGCCACGACTCCCGCCGAAAGGCGGATGAGCGCCGGCCACGCCCACCGCCACCTGCACCACCACCAGCGCCAGCACCATGACCGCCCCCAGCACCATTCCCAGCCGCACCGCCACGCTCAGCGCCCGCCGCCGAGCAAGGTCGCTCAATGGGCCTGTAGAAGTTGACGCAGATCCCATAGCGCGTCTTGCCCGAATCCTTGTCCGTCAGCGCAAACACAAACGAGGTCATGTCGCGTATGGCGGAGCCAGTGCGTCTTGGTCCCACGCTGGTGCAGCCTTCCGGCTGGCAAAAGTACACCATATCCAGTGGCAGCGGAAAGTCGGCGTGATCCGATGGCGGATAGCGACGCAGCAAATCGGGCACCTAAACAGCAGACAGAGAATAGATCAGATTACTCTAGTGGAACCATAACGTCTAGTAGATACCCTACATTGAATTAGATTCACTTCTGTATATAGAGCTGAATTGAAGGAGATAGGCTATTCAAGGACCATGTCTATAGGTCTCACACTCATCGATATATGCCCAAAAAGCATAAACTACATATCGATATTTTAATAATTTTAGTAACAGTTAAATTTCTGATTTAAATTCAGAATTTCAAAAGAAAAAATAAATACGTATATATATAAAAGTCCTTTAGTATTTCATTCGATATTCTACATTGTCTGTATATACAAATTGAGAGAATAAGAAAGAAGGTAAATTTGTTTATTAGAATCTGCAAATCAAATTTGAAATTTCGTATGCATAGCTCTGAAAGCTTTGCGAGATTGGAGCCACGGGCCAGGCAATTGACTGCAATAAAAATAAAAGCACAATATTTGCTTTGGGCCCGCACACGCACACACACACACACACACACACACACACACACATCAAATTAGTCTGCGCAAATAAACGTCAGTTATTGCTCGGCTCCTCTTCTTTTGATTTGGATGAAGTGCGCAACATACAGACGCTATCGATGACATACAGACACATTATGATATTCTAATGAGTGTAGAGGGTATAATAGGTCATAATTTATGCACCCTTGACAGCGGCTATAATCAACAGACTCACCTGCACCGGCGGCGCCTTGCTGCCCTGCATGCCCTTGGGCATTGGCGGCGTTGTGTGGGCACCCACAATGGCCATGTAGTCGACGAGGCGCGGGCATAATGAGGCGCGCTGTTGATCCGACATTTTGGGTATACTCACTACGCACTACCCTCGCTCGTTGGGATTCTGTAAGTAAGACAAGTGGGAGAGAGGCAAAAGTCAGAAGATGGAATCAAAGATAAACAGCATGAGCAATTAGTGGGGAGAGCCAAGGAGGCAAGGCCGTAATCCATTAGCCACAACGCGTAATCAAGTTAAGCTACACACAAGGCTGCCTTTCACTAAGCCGTAAATTCAATTTACCGCTCAACGCAAGCGCATGTTAGCAATTAGGGCTTAGAGGCAAGCTTCCTATGCTGCTGCAGCATGTTTCTCCACAACATGTCCTTGGGCGTGGGTGGGTGGGGGGTGTGGCATGCAAAATGTAATGAAATTAGTTGCCTCAAATGAAAACTTGCTGAATAAACAAGTGAGCTTAGTATGTATCGTATGTATATGTATGTATGTATGTATATGTATGTATGTATGTATATGTATATGTATGTGTTTGTATATGTATATGTATGTACATGATATGAGATATTTGAATAGATTGATATCAAAATTCGTAGGAGGTTAAAGTTTTATATATCAAATAGCATATTAACAATTATAGTTTTTAGCGAAATGGGGGAGAAGGGGCTGTGGTATCAAAAATCTACAAATTACAAAATCTTTGGAACCATTAACTTTATATACAACGCAAATTTGAAGTCTTCAGGTCTAAAAGTGTTCAAATTAGGCTGGAAAAACAAAGTCGATTTTTCGATTATTCTCGATAAAAAAGTTATTGGATGAGCTATTGGATACACGAGTATGTATGCCAAATTTCAGCTCTCTAGCTCTTATATCTTCTGAGATCGGCTTGCTCATACGAACGGACGGACAGGGCTATATCGACTCAGCTGATTTCCCATTTTCAATGGGTTCAGGGTATAATAAAAATTTAGGTAAAGTCCTTAATCTATGCAAATACTGAGAAATAGGGAAAAGCCTTAAAATGATTCATGTTAAATCAATTGTAAGGAGAATTCAAGACTTTAAAAGAAGAGTTCAAAGAGGCACATGAGATCCGAGCACAACAAGTATAGAGCAAGCACTACATATTATCCTAATTGAAGCTGAACCTCGCAACATCTGACTAACGGTACATAACGCATTCTTACCTACCTCAACTGTAAGAAAAACTTCTCGTATTATTATTACTCTTATAATCATCGTCATCTTTATAGTGTATATCATAAAGATCATTATATTTATATTTATTGTTACTATTTCTATTATAATCAATATCATCATCAATATCATAAGCTCTACTATCTTTGTCATTACATATATCATCATTATATTTATATTTATACTATTATCATCAGTTCTATCCCTATTATCATTATGATAAGTATCTTTAATATTATATCATTCGCATTTCCATTATCTTGTTCATTAAAATTATCATTTCTATTATCATTATTATTATTCTTATTGCCATTAAACAGTCGCTGCTTCAGCTGCTTCACTCTACCAGATAATCCGCCCATTAAACTGTAAAACAAATTGCTCAACCATAAAGTCCATACTCATAAAACTTAAATCCATCCATTCCGTTAAGCTGTTTGAAGTTTTAAGAGCCTCAGATGAGAAGCTTTCAATTAAATCTCTAATAATTGCAATGTAAAAGCTAGCGAAGGCGCGAAATTGAAAACCGTCGGCTTAACATTTCCCTCCAATTACTGCATCGGCAGTTGGGACTTTCATTAATAACGCGATGCAAGACGATACCTAAATTGTAAAAAGAAAAACGAGAGGGAGAGAGCGGGAGCGAGAGAGTGGAGTGTGGCAGCGAGATAAATGTGCGTCAATCGGGTTTCTAAGAAAATAGAAAATGGCAAACTTTGACGCGCAAATGCCTCGGCAAAGCCAAAGGAAATGTGCTTCTGATTGCTCTGAGCCCGCACAAGTTTGACCTATTGCATTTGCGAAATCTTCGAGTGGGTGTAGTTGGGTGTTGGCTTAAGCAAAGTCTTGTGCCAACTGCAAAGCGCAGTGCAGTTGCGTGGATTCCGTTATGTGAGCCGCGGCTTCATCGAAATGCAAAGAGAACTCGGGCAGAGCAAGATTTTCCAGTTGATTCTTTGTATTATTCATCACATAAATCAACGACCTGCAGGCAGGTCAAACCAATCAGTCTCCAAGGACCAATCATATCAAGTCAGTGGCCTGCTAATGACCTTGCTTTATAGGGACTGTGGGGGTGGGGGATGCCTGCTGCAGTAGCACTGTATGGCTAGGTGGGATTGACGGCTAAAGCTAAAGCTAAGGCCAAAGCAAAATGCAGAAAGCACAAAATAAATAAAATTCTACAGCGCAAATTGCAAATTGGCAATCGCATTGACGTCAGTCCCCGCCGAATGGCTAACAGATTGAGCCATGGTCCCGGTAAATGAGCAACGAGTAATGCGAAATTGAAAATTGAATGAAGAAAAAATGTGGATGAGGATGTGAATGAACAAAGTCAAGGCAGGCAGGCAGGCAGGCAGGCAGGCACAAGTTGTGGCATGCGAATGCAAATGCAAATGCAAATACCGAGCTCAGCTCGAGAGTTATGTGACTTTGATGATTGGCATGACAGAGAAATTCATTTGACATGATTGGCATTCCAGTTAGTACAAAAGGGAGATGCTCTGCGGAACAGAGATAGAGCAAGGAAGAGAGACAGAGAGTAGGAGAGTGGAAGAGTGGGAGAGTGGGAGAGATAGAGGGTAAGCGTAACGTGCATGTGGCAGAGAATGAGACCTTGAGAAACTCTTGACAAGCTTAGCACAGTCTCAAGGGCAGCTCATGCCACATTGCGTAAAACGCTGCTAGCTAAGGCAAGGTAAGCTAAATTGCTCAACCACTGCATACCCTATAAATCATATAAAGCATTCATATATGAAATGAATGAGAGCTTGCTCCTGCCTCACAAAATCAGTGAATTATTCAAATATTACAAAGAGAGAAACCCAGATATTATGCAAAGAGAAGAGAGAAGCTTAAGCCTAATAGGGAAGAAAGAATATGAAACGGGAATAGCATAAGTAATATAATCAGAAAAGAGAGAAGCCTAGACAATATGCAAAGAGAAGAGAGAGGCTTTGAGAATATTAAAAGAGAGAAATTTATTCAATATGAAAATGAGAAGAGAGAAGCTGAAGCACTGGAAATTGAGAAGACTGAAGCGTAAGCAATAAGAAAACATGAGAGTGAAACTTAAGACATATGAAATGAGAAGAAAGAAGCTATAGCAATATGAAAAGAGAAGACAGAAGTTGAAGCAAAATGGAACGAGAAGAGAGAAGTTAAAGTAATATAGAATGCGAAGAAAGAATCTTGAGCAATATGAAAAGAGAAGACGAAATGCGAAAAACAAATTTTCAGCAATATGACAATGGGAGAAGGAAGCCGAAACAGTATAGAAACAAAAGAGAGAAGCTAAAGCAATGAGGAAAAAGAAGATAGAAACTTAAGCCTTAGAGTGCTGTAACTCTGCTGTCAATGATGAGTATATAGAGAAAAATGCTTATCTCTAACTTGCAGATTTGTCCCGACGCTTCGATTTCTAGCAAAGTAATAGAGATTATCATACATTCCACCTTCTCTTATCTAAATGTTATTTATAACTATGTATATCAACGCGTTACTTTGTGCCACACTGTTTATGTATGCTTCAACGGAGCGTAGCTGGCAGCCCTGCCCCCCGCTCTGCTGGGCAACTTTATTATGCAGCATGTTTTATGCACTCTCAAGGATTATCGGCGCCAAGAGGGGGCGCCAAGAGGGGGGGCTGGGGGTCGCCTAGGAGACTGAGAGCTGGTAAATGTAGCTGGGTGTTGTCGAGCTGAAGGCTAACTGCGTGTTAGCCTTGCAGCTGACAATTTTCATTACTGCGCAAAGTTTTTATGCTGCAGCACAAGGCCAAACGGATGCGACCCTCGCACGGTCTGTGTGGGCGAACGGCATCGCAATAAACGTAAGAAGACCGCAAAAGTCGTGGCACATGTCAGGGCTAATCATGTCAAGGCTGCAGTTTCTCTCTAGAATTTTGTTCTCATTCTCTTGCAGCGCAGGCATTGCAGTGGGATTGCAGCTGCAGCTGCAGCATTCGCAAATACAGCATCGCATACCATTTGCCACATACGACATGCCACATACGACATGCCGCATGCCACATGCCACTCGCCAGTTGGTCGTCAATTTTATTTAATGGACACAGACTCCGCGTCTGGCTGGAAGCTAAACGCCAACGCTTTCAAGTGCTGGCGTCATCAAGGACTCGCGCCAAGAATATTGCCAGCAACGCATTTCAATTGTTCAGCAACGTACTACCCTGCCGCAGCCCCTGCCCCTGCCCCTGCCCCTGCCCCTGCCCCCGTCTCATGCCATGCCACAAGCCGAACGTTAAAAATAGCCAACAGCAAAACTGTCATTAACCAAATAAGAAAAATATATAAAGAAAACACGCTCTTATGAAATCATCATCTTCATCTCATACAAACGAGGACAATGAGGATGGGTAGAAAGCAAACTCCCTACGGAGCCCACGCAATCGGAGCATATTCGTCGAGGCAAAAGGGTTTCTCGATGATGTGGCCAATTAACCATTGTTAGATAAGTTTACCCTTTCCAACCAAATAATAGCAAGTAAAGCCAGAAAAATGGAAATGCACGACAAGCTAATGCCTGACGCAACTACAAGATATGCATCGCATAAACTTTTATTACAAATCGATATTTATCGATATATATACAAATCGGAATAAGCTTTTAGTTGTAGCCACACAGTCGTATATCATAGTCCACCATATTCCAACTATGTTAGGGTCATATTCACTACACATACTTTCAAACCATGCCCATTAATCCCGCTCCACGACTTGCTCCATTTACTCTGCTTAGCTACAAGATATACATCACATAACCTTTTATTATAAATCAATGTTAGCCCATGTAAAAAAAAAAGAAAGGAAAATAATAATAATTTTTAGCTGCTAATTCCCATATCAAATTCCCCTACTCCAACTACTCTAGTGTTATGTTACACACATTTTCAATACATGCCCATTAAAGCCCCATCCAAGACTTGCTCAATTTACTATTCTGGGGGCCGCACTAAGTCCTAAGTCAATATAATGCCGGCCTAATCTGAGCCGTATTCATTTTCACATCATCAATATTAAATGCGTTGTCAAAAAAATTCTCCCATGAAACTTTTCACGAAATGTGGGTCGTACTAGTCAAATATTAATCCTAACCTAAATCAAGTCGAGCTAAATTGCTTCTATTTAACTATGATTAAAGGCTATACAAGCGCCACGCATATGTTGGACTAAGTGAAACGCTAAATGGTTTTCCCATGATTTCATTCATCAATAATAAGCAAATAAGAGTGTTTCAGTCGACCGAGTCCTGAGCACAGATGCTATTCCATTCCTTTAATGATTTCTTGAATTGATATGTATGTGTGTACCAAACAACACACGCAAACCCCCCGTTTTCTGAGAATTCTACTGGCGTGTACTTCATGGGGTCTGCCAGACCTCCTTCTCCAATGAAGAGACAAAAGCATTTTCACCAGTAAAAAGCAAAAAGCATTATCAAAACGATTGAAAATTCTGTGTTCTCATTAAACTTCTTTGAAGTCAAACCGTTTCCACATTCGAATCATATTAAAGATTCCCGGAAGCCAGTTCGCTTTAAAAATAGAATACAAACGCATCATTAGCTAATGGAAGGAGAAATTTGAAAGATAGTCCGCAAAGTAAATGAAAAGTTTGCAAGCTTCTTAAAGTCTTTGGGTACTTTTCCAATGGCTGCATTGCATAAGCCATCAAAATTAAGAGCACAGTACTGAAACGAGAAAACAAACAGTAAAACAAGAAACAGGAAGAAGAAGAAGAAGAACGATTGCAACAATAACGACAATCTGACAAAAACATATTCAGTCTGCCAGCGAAACGGAAATGACAAACAAGAAACTCAGGAAACCCAGGAAAAGCAGGGACAGCGGAACAAGTGAGAGGAATGGGCAACAGCAACAGAGAAAGAGAGAGAAAAAAAAAACGGGAAATATGTCACAATAAGCTTGACAATAAAACTCAAATGCAAGCAACTGCGCATAAGGAAGATGGCAAACTGTAAGGCGACAAATGAGGTAGATGGCAGAAATATCCTAACAAGTGATGAAAAACAAGTTGAACTGGAAATTAGAAAAAGAAAAAAGATGTGGGTCAGTTGAGTTACTTTAAGGTATGTTACTTTAGCGATACGAATGGGAATTCCTATAGGGAATTCTAGTTTGTGATAAGATGATTGAGGTTATGATGGAGAAACGATATTCAACAACTTTGACTCTGGGGCTAACTACTCAACTCTCCCAATAACCCTTTCGGGATCTCCCTCAATCTTATATATATTTTTGTATATACCTTAATCGCTATTTCCGACTCGTTTGTAGAGTATACCAATTCGTTGCATTTCTATCTTTCTACACTTTCTTTAGCTTTGTCCGTTTCTTTGTCCCTTTGTGTCTGTCTGTTTGTTCGCTTCGTGTTCGTTTCGTGGCCTCAGTGCAGCACAAAAGTATACAACGTTAAATCAGCTGCACGGCAAATCCTTTAAGAGCTGGACGAACCGCAACTCCGCACTCCGTACTCTGTTCCCCGCACCTCTTCCATTGCATGTCTCCTGGTACGGCTCGCTGGGCCACTTACTTATGAACTCGAGTGTTGAGGCAACGTCTCTCGGGCGTTGCTATTTCAATTAATTTGACGCTATGCGTCTTCTTTTACATATGTATGTATGTGCGTGTGTGTGTGTGTAAGTGTGTGTTGCCTGGGGCCTGTCGAGTGGTGTGAATGACTTGTTGTTGTTGTTGGTTCGCACGTGCCCAGTTGCTAGTTGTTGGGGCATAAAATCGATAAAAGGCTCGGCGATTGCATTGCGTTATGTTAGCTGATGGTCAAAGACAAGCTGGGCGAAAAAGACAGGAATATGCACAGAAAAAGATGCGCGAAGAGGAAGAGTCAGCTGAAAAAAAAAAGCAAAAACCAACGGACCAGCCACATCATCAAGGCCACAAAATGTGACAGTCAAGCTGTCAAATCTTATCACACACAGACCACAACACACAAAAGTAACAAGCGCGAAATGTGCGTTGGGCAAATTCAATTAATGCAAAATGGGCAACAAAACAACAAAGCGCTACATAAAAAATTCATTGGAAATTAAGTAAAGCCAAGACCAGGGGCAAAACAAAAAATGCAAACACAATCAAAAGCAAACACGCACACGTACGCACACACACTCAGATATGCCCGCATCTAATGCGAATTGCGCTCAAAACTGTGCTACAATCGAGAAGGAAGAGAAGAGAGGAATAGCAGCGTAAAAGCAAAAACAAAATGAACGTCGCTGCGCCTACAGCTGGGACTTCCAGAAATACGCGACGCAGCTGAGGTGGGTTGACACAAGGCAAGAGTAACAATGACACACACACGCTCACACTCACAGCAGGCGTACTCACTCACACGCGCTGGTACGCTCGTAGCGGGCGTTCGCGTACGCAACAAGGTCACTGGAAAAATCGTTAAGCAGCAGCAGCAGTAATAACAGCAATGACAACAACAGCAGCCGCAGTAGCAATGAATATGTCGATACCTTAGCTGTTTTTGCTATTGTAAGAGTATACACACACACAGCCAATTTTATTGGCTTAAATAAGGTATAACAAAAAACATAGCACACTTTTGGCACTATATTACTTACCAGTTCGTCAGGCAATTATTATTCTCACACAGTTTAATGCGTCAACATTTTTCTTTTATTACAATTGTTGCGCTGCATGGGCGCAAAAAGTGTATAACAGTAAATCACACACCATACAAAATGTTATTTAAAGAACAACAATATATATGTATATATGAAAAAAAAAGAACAGTCTGCAACAACTATAACAAAAAGGCGCGTTTCACGCTGAACGCTTCTTACAACTGTAATTTATTTACTACTACTCTTTTGCTTTGCACGGTCAGCGTCTCAACTGCAGCTCCAACTAACTAAGAGGCTATTTCCAATTGCCGTTTCAACGTCTGTGCTGCGCGCTGTCCGTGGTATAACTGATTACTGTGACTAATAAGCATCCAGGACGCGGTACCCATTGTGTATGTGTGTGTGTGAGAGCACTCAAACATGTGTGGTGGCATGTGGTGGATTGTGGTGAGTAGTGGTGGGCCACTGTGTGGCCGCATGTTGAAATTCCTATATATACACATGTATGTGTATGTGTCGAATGGCCGTTGGCAGACTGGAAATGCCATGCGCTCCAGTCCGACAGATTTCTGCTTAGCCACTTTTCTTTTCTTTTTTGCCATAGCTCATTTGTATGCCGCACTTGTTGGATTCCGCTTCCAGGCACTGCGCATGACTGCTGTCAGCCACGTGCGTTCCAATGCAAAAACAACGGCAATTAGACTCACTGTGCGTGAGTGAGTAAGTGACTTTCTGTGTTGTTGGAAGCAAGCGCAAATAGCTGCGAGTTAAGCTAAAAGCACAAAACCAAAGCCAAATAAATGTGCAGAGGTGTATGTGTCTGTGTGTTTCTATATGCTTTATGCTCATATTTTTATATAGATAAGAATATTTATATCTATCTATTTATACATACATATATAAATATTTATGTCCCTTTATCCCTGTTGCTGCTTAGATCCCTGGCATATTTATTTTTTAGCTGTACCAAAAGCTAAATCTAGCTGTGAACTAACTAACAACACTAACTATAAAATAGCCTTTTCCTAACTAATACAGAGTTGAACAAAATCTAGCTATAGAGCTAAAAAATAAATGCTCGTTATTTATTTAGACAACCATTTACAACAGGAGTACATATAATATATACTTATGTGTATATATATTTAAAATATGCAGCTTACAGTTAAACTGTGAGCAGCATTAAACATCATAACAATTGAAAGGGGGATGGGATTAGGAGTCGTTTTTTCATTGGCCAACCAAGTGCGCAACGAGCTTAAAGCTAAAGAGGAGCTCGCACGGGCGGCGTCCGCTATAAATGCACATTCTGAAGGGGAGAGGGGATAATTTGGGTTGAGCGTCACGTGGCGGCCATAAGGCACTGAAAACAGTTGCAAAGGTTTTGGTTTTACTTTCTTTCTTACTTTCTTTCATCTATGATTTCTATCTTTCTGTTTTGTAAATAAATGCAAGAGAACAGCCTTAACGGTTGATCGCTGGAAGCTTCACAGCCTGGCTTAGTGGAGCAAAAAGAGCGCCGGATGTTCCAGGTGCTGCTTCCAGACATTGGAAAAACTGGCCATAGTGACGCCATCGATGACACGATGATCCGCCGACCAGCTAACACTCATGATGTGTGCCTTGACAATCTCGTCCTTGTCATTGAAGCGCGGCACCGCCTTCGTACGTCCCATGGCACCAATGGCCACCTGGGGCGCCATTATGCAGGGATGTGTATACGTGCCGCCCACCTGCAAGTTCAAGAGTTGTATCAGATCCAATCCAATTCTATTCATAGACATAGATCACTTACGACGCCAATGTTGGACAACGAGAAGGTGCCGTCGGCAAAGTCAGCGGGGCCCAGGGAGCCAGTGCGCCCGCGCTCGACGAGCTCATTCAGATCCTTGGCTATCTGAATGATGCTCTTCGCCTGACAGTTCTTGATGTTGGGCACCACCAGGCCCTGGGGCGTATCGATCGCAACGCTAATGTTGTGGGCGCCCTTATAGATGATCGACTCGCTGGCCAAATCCAGCGAGCTATTCACAATCGGATACTTGGTCAGGGCAATGCTGGCAGCCTTAATGCAGAACGGCATAAAGGTTAGCTTGGGCACGCCCTGCTCCTGAGCAGAGGCTTGCAGTTGGCTCCGGAACTTGACCAGATTCGACATGTCGATCTCATCGCTGTACGCAAAATGTGGAATTTTCTATGAAAGGAAATGGAAACATAATTATATAATAACTAAATCTAAATTGAGTGACTAAAGCATTGAGGAACTCCAGTTCATAATATGCTTAGGATGAGCTCGAAAAAGCAAATATTTAGATCGATATTTATCGAGCTGCGTTTTACTAATACATATTTTAACATAGACAGCGTATAATTGATGAAAATCAAGATCTCTTTGAGTGCCCTGCTTTGAGCTTTAGAAATATTGATTAGAAAAAAACATAACAATCGATATTTATCGATATAATGTAAATGTGTAAAGGGTAAGCTGGTCCAAATTTAAATTCATATGCATATGAGCTTCGAATCGTGTGCGTTGCTTTTTATATTGGGGCTACGCATTAAAATCGATATTTATCGGTTTTATTAAAATGAGGGAGTTTTAGAATATGCATTGGGGGCTTGTTTTGCTGCATTTGAATCAAAATTATTTACATACTCTAGTAAAGGATGCTGTATAAATGTCAAAGTATTCGGGATATATCGATAAATATGGAAGCTAGCACATATACAGGTAAAAGTATGCTGGAATAGACTGAGTAAGCCTGAAATTTAAGGCACTAGTTACTATACATCAGAGTTACTGATAAATTAGCTATCGATATTTATCGATTGGTACAAAATGCAAAATTTTTTATAAATGCTTAGATCATATAATTCCCTGGGGCTGAAGAATAAATATCTATTAGACGACTAATACACAGACGGATAATAGACTAATCAATAAGCATATACATATGTATATAGAATAAACTTGAGTTTCTATGTCCCTTTATTACTTACGAGTGATTCCGTCATCGACTTGAGCATGGCCTTGCGCACGCCCTTGAGCTGCTCCACACGATCCGCTGGCGCCGTCACGGGCGGAGTGGCGGCTGGAGCCAGCTTGGCTTGCGTGTTGCTGGGATGGGGCACATTGGTGCCGGGCGGCACTTGACCCAAATACTCGAGCACATCGCCCTTGAGCACACGTCCATTCTTGCCTGTGGCCGGCACCTTGGCCAGATTCACTTTGTGCTCCTTGGCCAGACGACGGACGGCGGGCGTGGCGGGTGTTATATGGCGACCAGCTGACAAACCGCCAGCTGCTGCTGCTGGGCTGGGCTGCGCATCACTATCGCTGCCGCTGCTGCTGCTGCTGCTGCTGCTACTGCTGCTGCCATCATCTTCTTCCTCCTCCGCATCCGCCACCTCGAACTCGAGCAGTGGTTTGCCCACCAGAGCCAGCTCATCGATGTTGTGGTAGATGCGCGTAATCTTGCCATCGTAGCGACTGGTGATGGTCACCGATGCCTTGTCCGACTGCACCTCGCACAGGTTGTCGAACTGCTCGACGGTGTCGCCCACCTTCACGAACCACTCCTTGACGGTCACCTCGCGTATGCCCTCGCCAATGTCGCTCAGATTGAAGGCGATCTTCTTCTCCAGGCGAGGCGTCCAATGCAGGCAGCGCGACACCTGAAAAGGGCCCAGAGTTATTCAAATATCACCGATTTCAAATATCAAATTCCACGTTTCAATACAAAGTGCAAATGAAGCGGCAAATTCTGGAGTATAATTTGTCTGACTCACAAATACCCTACATATATAAATGTTTCAAATAAATGAATGCAAATCGATATTTATCGATATTAGTTACGTGTTAAAGTTCTAGAATAAATATATATATATAATATGAACAATAAAGAAAATATATGGAAAAGCATATGGAACATATGAAAAACCTAGAAAATAAACACCTAATACACTACTCGTATATACACAATATGATGTATTGAGTTTTCATTATATATAAGCTTCAACAAAAGCTATAACAGATCTACTAAAACAGATTAAGAATGACCCCTATATAGCAATATATGCGTATGTATACATATATATACAAATATATATCATATTACCCTTTATCGCTGCAGCTACTAGCAGAAACACAATATACCCGATTCGCGAACATATTCAATTGATTGAGCACATTAAATGGTAAAGTCAAACAGGCATGCGCCCCCTTTCGGTATTAATGCGAGAACAGCGAAACAAATTGTGTGCGTTCACCCTCTCCCTCTCCCTCGTGCTCGCTCTGTCGCACCTGTTGCGCGTATTGTGCGTGGAAAGCATGCTATCGCGCTCGCACACATGCTGTCAACTGGACAAACGAATTGCCACTTGTTGTTGTGCGAATTCGATTACATAACAGAACATCGCAGAACATCGCGACATTCTCGTGTATCCGCTGCTTTTATACCTTACGCCGCACACAAATTATAATTTTTGATCAAACATATTCTAAGAACTTAATTATTGTTCATTAATCGCCACTTACAGTGAATGGCATCGAGCGTTGGCAATTTTTGAGCAGCCAAAATGTGCTGCCATTTCGTAGCAAATGTGTTGCCATGGCCAATTTGGTGAATGTTTGCTGGTAATGGCCTGTAATTGTAAAAGACCAAGAAAATTAAATTCTGTTTTGGTTGGCTATTTAATCCGTTGAAAATACCTCTAAGTGCTGCAAAATGTGCGAGTCGATGCGTTAAATCCACTCAACTGCCCCCAATGATCGCCCTTATCAAGCGAGCTTCTGGTCGTCAGTTTGTTTTGCATTTGCCAGCTGTTTGCCAGGTGGAGCTGATCGTTACGCTAGCGCCATCTAGCTTCAAAACATATTTCAAATGTCCAACATCGATAGGGAATTTGAATATCGATTGAAGCTAGCGTCATCTAGCGACTAGCTATTGACTGTGGCAGTGCTAACAGCATAGCTTATCAAATTTTAAGGCTAAAAATTGAGGGTGATAAGAAATTGCCCAGAAAATCTTATAAATTAATATTAAGAGTTAGAAATTATGAGGACATAAGAAATATCTAGTTCTATTGCATAATTGTCTTTTCTTTCAAATTATTACAGCAAAAACTCTCAAAATAACTATGTTCCACTTATGAAAATTTTGACAAAATGCGTGCAAAGGAAAAAAGCTTTTTATTTTACATGAATTTTAGCAACCATAGTGGAGAAATTGATAACTTTCTTACAAATGTGGACAACAGGCTAAATATTTTATAGCCAAACGGCTACGCGCGCAACACTGCAAAGATTTTCAAACCAATCGTATGCTTATGACGCTGGCGCCCTCTAGCGACAACAGCTGTTGTTGAAATATCGTTAGCTACCAAGCAGCTGTCAGCAAACAAAAACAACGTGATCAGCAAGATGGCAAGTTGCAGCAAATTTTAAAAAGTAAATAAATAATTCAATGTCTATAAATTGCAGGCGAATTTACGTAAAGAACTGGAGAAATGCAAACACCCCAACAGTCGTAAGACTAAGGCGTTAGGCAAAAAAGCGCGCAGACAGAATAACAAGCACAAAACCCGCCTCGGTCATGCGATTAAAAGCAATATAATGGGCGAGAAGCTGAGCTGGTTTCTCGGCCACATTGATGAGGAGCGCACGACGCCGCTGAGCCCACAGGAATTTGAAGAGCTAATTGAGCTCTACCTGCATAGGTTCGACGAGGAACTGCAGCAAATAGCGCTGAAGCAATCGATAGGGAAAAATCGCGCCAATCAGCACGCAGCTCGACAAGATGTCATCAGAATAACACTGGAAAGGGAGCGCAATGAGTACCAGAGCGGCGGCATGGGTAAGAGCAGGACAGACTATAAATTATATATTTCAATACATCACATCACAAATTTGCTTTCACAGAATTGCTTAACCTGTGCGATCCGGCCAAATTCAAAATGCTGATTGATTGGGATGGCAGCGCGTTGAGCGTTCAGCATTTAAAGCTAGATTTGGTCTCACACAATATGCTGCAGCGGTTGAAGCAGTCAGCGGCAGCCAGCACCAGCGCGGAACAAATGGAAACAGTCTAAAAACCCATTCATTATAATAATATAAGCAAATTTCAATAAACATGTAGTAAACAGTAGAGGTGGAAATACACAAAGTAAATAGCTAGCTTGCATATCGATAGTAGCAGCGATAGTTGACCCACGCTGTGCGCTTATGCACAGTGATGCCAGCCGTATCTACAAAAAAGCTACATATATAAACATTTAGTTACGAATTATCCCTATGTATATCCCTATATATATGTATACTACTATAGATATATACTTAAATATATAATGCTTATAAATGGGCCCTTTCCTGCCTGGTTCTAAATCATATATTCTATTAAATAATTGTCACTGCTCACACATTACATTTAAATACTTACACAGCATACAGAATATATTAAACATTAAGACACACATACTAGAAAAAACACTTACAGCTTACGACTTAAATTGCATTTACTCTTCCATTGAGAGTGCATTCAAAATTTGACTATAAAAAAGCTGAGCTGACAACACTGTTGAGCACGTGTGCTGCAGCGACGTCTATCGATAGGCAAATAAACAATCAGCTGTTCGTCGCGTGCGTGTGTGTGTGAACTTGAAATTTGTTATTCGTGTGAATTGTGGTGAAATAAACTGCACAAATTTTTTAATTTAGGTAAGATTTATTACATAAACAAATGCCAGCACAAGCAGAAGTGCATCCGATTCACCTTAAGCCCACATTTATTATATTCCCCCAGTCTCTGCGTAAATAACATACAACATAACAATGGGCAGCAGTTCATCGAAGGGAGTCGGAGTCGTGGAGACCGCCGCCGCAACTACAGCGACAAATGCAGCCGCCGCCGGCGCCGGCGGTGACAAACCCAAGTGCAAAGCCTGCTGTGCCTGCCCCGAAACGAAGCGGGCACGTGACCAGTGGTAAGTAAAAATGCGATGACGCAACAAATTTTGATGTTGCATTTACGTTTGCTTTCGGTAGTCTAATCAACTTGTACTTTTGCAATTTGCAGCATTGTGGAGAACGGGGAGGAGAACTGCACAAAGCTGATCGAGGCACACAAGCAATGCATGCGAGATGCTGGCTTCAATATCTAGGAAGCTAGAAGCTGGGTCGGTGGAGTACTACTTAGCATAAGGCAGCGGCGTCTCCCCACCCACTGGCGCGTTAACTTAAATTAATATCCCAATTTTTTTTTCGTTTGTTATATCTCAAGCTAATTATAGTTAATTTAATTTAAAAAAACAAAAAAGCCAAAATTAATTGAAACCAAACGCAAATTTTCGTTTTCATTATTTGCACGTAAGAGTGCACAAATTGCGATATATGGCACCTGTGACGTCAGAGATTATCGCGTTGTTCTTAACTGGTTCCTCAAATATTACGGTCATCCGTCTTATCAGCTAGTTAGATTAAATGAACGAGTGTCCGGTTCATGGTTTGTTTACATGTACAAACAAATCGTGACGCGAGAGCAGCGAGAGATCTTGCGTTTCTATCCTGTAACTGTGACGTCAGAAATTCTGATGCTTCATAATTTTATTCCTCACTTACTCTTCTACTGCTCTAAGATTGTCTGCCAAAGAGACATTTTATTTAAGCAGAAAATGTTCCACAGCTGTGACGCCTTAAAAAAAAAACAGAGCTTCGTCAAGTGTTACCTTTTATTATGTAACGCATGCATATTCTAAAAAAAAAAAAAATCACTTAAGCTCTTCAGCCCTAAACCTATTTGTGCTGCCCTGGCCGATATGACTATGTGACGTCAGCGCGCGCAAGCTTTTATGGCGCCAGTTTTGAAATTTGTACGCTCAAATGAAACGCAATGTACGCAAAGCCACAACGGCAGCCATGTAGAAGGTAATCAGCAGCATCGTGGCAAAGGCCAAAATTCGTGATGGCTGCGGCACTGGGTAGAGAGCATAGACGAGCGTGTGGACAATGCGTGCAATAGCAGCCACGCGGAACAGATTGCAGGCCACGAGAGGATTGGGGTTGGTGCACACATAGATCAAGGCCATGATGAAGTATGGCAAAATATTCTCCATATCATTGCGATGAGCTCTACAATGAGAGAGAAAGAGAGAGAGAGAGGGGGAGAGAGCACGCTGTCAATCTGTTCAAGTTGGCTGTTTTGCATACCCACCTTCGCACGCGTTCCACATGTGGATCATCGAACTGCACTTCAATGTTCTTGAAAAACAGATCCTCTTCGTTGGGAAAGACCTGAAATGTGGTGGCAGGCAAATGGAATTAATGGAAGGCGCTGGTTGGAAGGGTAACCACTTCCACTTAATATTATACGCATTAAGTAGAGTGCAAGCGAGAGGGAAAGTAAAGAACAGCATTTAAATATAAATGAGTGAATGAGAGGGTGCGATTGCCAATTTTGCAAAATGTTGTCAAACAGCTCAAGCATATACATACACATACATACAAGCATGTGTGTGCATTAATGTATACAGTATTATAATTTATCTGTATACATATATATATACATGTTTTTACATGCATATGTATGTGTGAACGTTTAGTTTCCAATACGTTGAAAGAATATAATTGCATTTGGTATTTATAGAAACAATGTTGTTGATGAGAGCGAGAGCAGGATCGTGAATGGAAATGCGTCCCATACACTACACAGTTCAGTGGATGGCGCGCAGTGGCAGCGAGAGCGAAAGTATTCAAAAAGCAAGCAGAGTTCCAATTGGGCCCCATACACCGCACATTATTTATGTATGTACATAGGACTATTTCGAGCATGCAGGATTTACCTTGCGCCGCACTGCCAGCGGCACCAGACCCAACAGCTGTGAAATTCGAAATCGCATGAATGAGCTGCAGTCGTGTGTGTGTGTGACTGTGTGTGGCACATCCAGGACTTACCTTGTAGCGGAAGCGCTGCAACGCCGTCAACAGGGACATGAGCAGCATCTTTACCACCAAGACTGTGGCCCAAAAGAGATAGCAACAGAAGACAGGATTGTCCAGTGTGAGCAGCTCCATATTTGTCAGCTTATCATGCATCGCAGGAGCAGATGTGTTGGACATGTCGAGCGTCTGTTTTCTGTCTGTGCGGCTAAAGCGTACTTTGGCAAGTGATCCAATGCGGAGTTCCAGTTCCAACTCAAACAGCGCAGCGCCAACTAGTCAAACTGGTTCCAAGCTATTATTTATAAGTGTGTGTGTGTGTGTGCGACTAGAGAAGCTACTGACTAGGTGACTAGGCAAAACATAAAATGTTAAACGGCTCATAAATCCAACAGCTTCCTCTCCTCCTCTCTCTCTCTCTCATTCTCTCTCTCTCCATCTCTCGACCCTTCCGTTTAGATATATTTGATGGAACAGATGAGCACATAGACCGCCTCGAAGCACATAATGCTAAACGTGATGAAGAAGCAGATCGCTCGTGTCGGCTGCGGCAGCGGCAGCACAGCATAGAAAATCGTGTGCAACAGTCGAGCGCTGGCTCCAATGCGTATCAGCAGCTTGGCGGTCAATGGGTGGGGGCCGCAGGCCACATAGGCTAGGGTCATTAGCAAAAAGGGCAGCACATTCTCCAAATCGTTGCGATGAGCGCTGCAATAAGAAATAGATAGTATGAGAGAGAGAGAGAGAGAGAGAGAGAGAGAGAGCAGGGAGTAGGAAAAAGGATCCCACACACTACATTCAAGCAATGCAAAAATATTGCAATTAGTATTATTATATAATTATACATTTACATGCATAGGATTGTATAATAAAACATAGATCTCTTTGTTTAATATAATAAATATACATACATAATCATTTATTGCTCATGGCCTAACTGAATTTTATAGCGAAGCTGCTCAAGTGCAATTATGACGTGTGTGGGACAGGCGCTCAACAAACTGCAAGGCGAGAGTGAAAGTGTGTGGCCCACACACTACACATATATTGGCGAGGCAATTAAATGGATTTTTAGCTCAATGAAATGAAATTATTTTGAAGCGGGACATCATGATAATGAATTGCATATTAGATTATACAATTAAATCAAATTCTATTTAATGCTTTGGTCACAATCTAAATATGCGGCAGATCGCATGATGCGCTGCTTCTGGAGCGTGGATCACTGTGTGACGTCACTAATGGGCTTTTAATGGCTTTTAAGAGCGTACGTGACATATACATACATACATATGCACAGACATTGTATAACACATTTAATTGAAATTTTTCATCATATTTTATTTTATTGTATATACATAGGTATGTATTTATTTTTACTTTTTGTACTTACCGACGCACTCGCTCCACATTGGGATCGTTGAAACGCACATCTGTGCATCGGCCCACCCGCAAATCCTCCGGATTGGCAAACGTTTTGGTTTTAATGCGCTGCCTGGCTGTCAATAGAGACATGCATAGCATTTTAAGTATGAGCAAACTACTCCAAAATAGATAACAGCAAAAAACCGAATTCGATTTGCTCAGCAAGGGAGCTGCGGGCATGCTTTCGGTCTCCATCTTCGACTGGAACTGAAAACCCTTTTAGGCCGTTATAATTAAGGCGACATAACGGTGAAGACAGCTGCTGGCGTTCACAGTCCCGCGCCCTCCACTGTGCCCGCCTCTGCCACAATCAAGGCTCTGACCTGACCCAATAGACCATATAGAATCGAATAAATACCATGCCAGGTTCTCACCTGCATTATTTATCGCAACAATTAAATTAATAAGTTATTTGCTTTAACTTTTCATGATTGCCTCCTCACTTATTGCATTTGTTTACTTGCGAAATTGTGGCAGCTAGTCAATGAATTAATTAGGTCAATTCATCAGTCAGTCAATTAATCCAATCTGTCTCCTTCTTCGGATTGAATTGGGGATTGGATTGTCGCCAGCATACAAATCGTATCAAATTTTGTTGTTTATTGTTGCAGTTCACACGCACGCATACACACACATACACACACTTGCACACAGACAACAGTTCTAGAATTCGCACATCCAAAAATAAAAGATCAAGGTTGCGTTTAACAAACAACAAAAGACAAAAACAAAAAATATGAAAAAAAAAGAAAAAAACTTGCGCTAACAGATGTGTATGCATACACATAGGCACGCACGCACATACATACATACAAGTTGACATACAGACAAACAGATTATTATAATAGACAAAATCAAGAATTCAAATGGCAACGGAAGCGTCCAAATAAGAAGCAGCAGAAGAGAAAATCAACAACAATAAGAACTGAAATTAGTATTGCTTAAATTCAAAGTTCAGCCGGCGTATGTGTATGAATGTACATACACACATACATATGTATGTATAACTATCAGGTCATATTTTCATGCAAAGCTTAGTTAACCGTTTGTCATTGAGCAAGCAGCGAGCTGTCAAACACCACAACGCAAATGAAATGCAAAAACAAATTCGCACAGATTTGTGTGTGTGCAAGTAAGCGAGTATACAAACATACATACGTGTGTGTGAATCGTCTATGTGTCTTTGCAAGTACTTCTGCACTCATGTTGATCTACTGCGTGAGCTGTAGACGCGTGTGGCATGTCAAACTGTACCCCAAGATGGCAACTAATGGCATGCGTATGTGTATACATATGTATGTACATGCATATGCATGTATGTATTTGTGTATGTATGTGCGATGTGACGTACGCCAAGAGTTGGTCTTTGCTCTTGTCTAAATTTAGTCAAAAGAGTAAAGAGTTTCATGCTTGTTTTTGTTTTTCGTTTTTTTTTTTTTTTTTTTTTGCGTTGCTGTTGCTGCTGCTGCTGCTGCTGCTGCTGCTGCCGAACAAATTAAACTCGCGCTCTACCACTCATCGAATTTTCTCAACGCTACGGCGCGACGCCGGCAGTGTCGCTGCTGCTGCGTTGTCGCCGTCGTCGTCATTAGCCACGCAGACGGCGACGCTAGCCGCGACACGTAGAGCGTCCAAAGTCCAACTGTCTGGGTGCTTTTTTTGTTGCTGCTGCTTTTGTTTTTGTTGTTGTTTTTTTTCCTTTGGTCTGCTTTATGACGAGTGGCGTTTAACATTTAAACGAGGCAATCAGAGGGAGAGAGAGAGAGTGACTGTGAGAGAGAGACAGAGCTCATGCATGATATACAGTAGAAGGGAAGAACTGAAGAGAGTCAGAAAAGTATTTTGTATTTAAGGATAATAATTTACAGTAAGGCTAGCCTAACAGTTAATTTGCAATTCTTTGCATGCGATAAAGTTTGCATAAAAATAGGCCAAAGTAACTTGAGTTCTAAGCCAGCTATGGAGTTCGGACTGATGTTGAAAACTTTCTCAATAATTGCACAGCGTTTATTTATGTACATAAGTAATGTGATGTATGTACATGCATATGTTAATTGTGTACTGCAATTCGTTAAGCTGACTTTCTACATAATATTTGCCTTCTGGAACAAATAATATCCACAGCTGTTTAGCACGAAAAATAAATTATAGAGCTAAAACATCACCTTGGATTTTAGTAATAGTCTCTGGTAACTCGACAGGTAGCCAACATCTGGCATTAAAATTGCACTCGACATATGTATGTACATTTGTAATTGTATATATATGTATGTACATACTATATCTCGAGTACTTGCGAAGCGATTTCATAAAGCTTTCAAACATTTCTAAGTCTTCAGCTGAATAAAAATGAATTTATAAAGCAACAAAGCGTAGCTACTTTATTACTAGAAACTCACGACGCACAAAAAATAAAAATAAATAAAAAAAAATAATTAAAAATATTGTGTTCTGAAGAGCACTATATATCATCATATGATAAGAATTCTGTTTTGACAGACATTCAGCATTACGATATAATTCAACCAGAAGAAAAAAAAAACGTTTCTTAACTTATCAAAATTGAGCTTTGGGTACACACTTTTCGTTGTTGTTGCTAGCAAGTGCGATAATGTCTGGACGAAGAGGAAGAAGAAGAACAATGAACTTGCTAGCGACTCATCCAAATTACGCATGATTAACGTAATGAATGTGGCGGAATTTCTACCCGAACAAAGTCCAAATTTATCATCATTTTATTTTTATTTCATTCTCATTTTTGGATACACAGAAACACGTTGGCACTGAATTGGGTTAATAGTAGTACTAGTATATGTACATATACATATATAGGTATATAATATATATATATATGTATATATAGGAAAAGCCTTGGCAGCGCAACACATGCTGCAACATCTGGCATATGAATTGCAAATGAATTCAGCTGCTACTAAACTCTGGACTTTAGATACTATGGACCCCATAGTATATATATGTATGTGTATATACTAGATTTCTATGTACTTGTATATACATTTACATATATACATACATGTATATTGCACGATAAGAACGATGAGTGTCAATAACCGACAACGTAATGCCTATTTGTAGCGAGTGCATTTGATATTGGGATGTGTGGTTGCTTTACGACGTAATCCATAGATAATATAACGCAATAGCCATCTGGCTAAACAGACATACATACATATGTAGATATGTGCATACGTATGTATATACATGTGCCAAATAAATTAGAAGGCGGTAAGGAGCACAAATTTAATTTACATAGATATACATTGTAGAGCTAGAATATTCATACCTATATAAACTACATCACAGAGTCATTAACTAAAAAGTTAGATTTGATGCTTATGTAAGAGTACGATAAAGACATATGCAGTTATAGATATAGTTCAGATAGTGCAGTTTTTCAGTGCTTAGTTTACTTAACCACTTTATGATGTTTTCACAATGTATTTCTATCCAGGCGTTACTAAAAAGTTCCTCCTTTTCTTGCCTCACTTCTTCTTCTTTTATTACTAGAGAAACTTCTTCTTGCTCCGTTCAATTATTTCCTTCTCATCTCCACTGGTTTCTGCTTCCCTGCTGGCATTCCCTGTAATCTTTATCATGCTCTGCTTTGCTCTATGCATCTCTTTTACTCTCCATACTCTATCATCTTTTCTTCAACTTTTACTTTGTTCTCTTGTTTGTTTTTTATGTAAAGTGCGTTGCATTTTCATTTAAAAGTAAATCTTTCCGGTATATCCTAAACACAAACTGAGTCTTGATCTCAATTTTCGATTTGCATATCTAATTGGTTGATCTAAAATCGAGCTAAGTCCCAGTAAGAAAAGGAACCGTCAGAAACTTCATGAATTTCGAAAGATCGCTTAAATGGATCCATCAGATAATAACAACTCCATGTAATATGAAATAAAATAAATATTAACCAACATTGTATGAACATGCTTTGATTCACGCTTTGTTTAGGTTTTTTTTTTTTTTTTTTTTGAGACGTCTATAAACAATTACAAGGTACCGTTATGGCATTTTTAACTGTCTGATTTGATTTACAATGTTGTAAATATTTAATGGGGTACGTAGTTTTGTAAGTGCGATAAGTCGGGGCTCAAAGTCGACCGAATGAGTGTGAGAGGGCGGGCGCGGAAGGGTGATAGCGCTATCTGTATAATCATTAAGATATCGATATCGGTAATAAGCATCGATAATTAGCACTTCGATTGGATTATAGCGCAATCCCCGCTATGATGACAACGCAAATGAGTTGAACTTTGGAACAGACGGTGATACCAAATGCGGTTTGTGGCCAGACGACGCACAGTAAAGCCAGTGAACGGAACTGGGCCACGTATCAGACGCCTGATTGGGCGTACTTCACTTAGGGGCCAGCGTCTGGGGACGCCTTATCTTTGGACCCAGACGGCTTTTAGGCTAGGGCGTGGCAGTTCAACATGTCTATGGTATACCCATTAGCTATGACCGATCTGTTTCCGTATTTCAAGCTTAACCGATAAAGATAAATATTAAAGATAAACCAATATACCGATAAATATCGATACCGTATTTATTAATTTCTGAAGTTATCCCGATAAATGAGACTATATATTCGAAGTGTATATTTTATTCTATATGTCAGTGAGATCATTGTGTTATCGATAGCATCCCATTTTCTTCCACAATTTTATGAAATGTAGACTTCGAATTGAATTTATTTATATTATACTCTTTATATTAGATAGCTTTTTATAATGCGAATGCAATTTGTAATTCGCTTACAAAACGCATGGGTTAGACGTAGATTATTCGAGCCTTATATTACTTCAATTATACCTGATTTTAAAGTATCTATCTGATCGTTTAGTCGATCATTCGATAAATATATTATTTGTATTGAATTGCTGATATTTGATATAATATCTGTGCATATCTAGCATGTGTGAATGTGAGATCATGTAAAGTTACTGCTACAGGGTATTCACTAGTCGTGCAGCTTATGCTGTAGCATTTCAACGCTTAGCTGTTCGTTTGTAGCACAAGTCATTTAGTCAGAACCCGTTGCTTGAACTTTGGAACTGCGCTGCAATTACATTGAGCAGAGCAAATATTACGTATACGTATATGTTAAGTTAAGTACATACATGTGTGTATGTATACACATAGGTATGTATATATATGTGTGTAAGTACATACGCACTTGTAATACGCCAGCCATGGCGCCATCTCCGTCTCTGATGACATGATCTTCTATTCTGTTAGTGTTGGTCAAGCACAGTGCACTGCGTGTTATCGCGGCTGTATGTTCTAGTATTCTGTGTTGGGTCAAAGGTCATGCACGCACACACACAAACACAGCAAAACAATTGATAATAAATGGTTGTGTGCGGGGTGGAGGGGGAATGCTCTGCGTGTTAATCTAGTTGTCAAGCATTGTGCGTCCTCTCAAGCGTGTACTCTCCCGCTCTCCCGCTCTCCCAGTCTCTCTCTCTCTCTTCAGTTTGTTCTCTTTGCATGCACTCTCATTTCGATGCTCTCGCGCCATCTGCCAGCATCTGGTTCGGTGTAATTCCAATTATGCAAATGCCAATTGGAATTGCATGCTGCTTTGTATCATATTCACCTGACCGCCCGTTCAGTCTACCAGCCAACCAGCCTCCCGGCGGGCACGCCCATTGCAAATGCAAATAAACACTTTGTATGTGATTACACCAATTTCGAAACGTCATTTTCACATGTTGAAATACAATTCAAGTCCAAAGTAACAATGCGACACTTACCAACACCGCTTGCATGAGACGTTCGCACACAGTGCATGCAAACAGTGAACGGCCAAGCAATTAAAATTCTAAACGAGCAATATTGTTGTCAAACCTAATTGCTAAGAACAACTTTATTAATCGAATTTGTTCTCATCAGAAAAATCAAATTCAATTTTGCCTACATTTGCAATTGATTTCCTCTGCTCGTTTAATCATTTCGCTTTGCTGTTCTCGCTCTGACTCTCTCTCTCTCTCTCTCTCTCCCCCTCAATTCGCCCGGCAACAGACGCAGACTTTCGCCGTCGACTGTCGCTCAAGTGCAGTATTGCAGTGCAGCTCTGTCGGCGTCAGCAGCGCTGGCGTGCCCGCAAGTCCAAAACTCAAAAGGCAGCGATGAGAGAGCGCTGCGCACGCTCCATCTCTGTCTGCCTCGACGTCTCTGGCTCTCTGTTGCTCGCACGCTTGCGATACGTTTTGGCGCTCGCTTCGACATCGCCGTCGCCGTCGTCGTCGTCGTCGTCGTCGTTGTCGTCTTCTGGAGGAGAGGCCCTCATAATAAACCAGCCGCGCAGCTTGTAAGTCAGTCAGAAACGCGTTGAGTGCGACAGCGAGCAGACGTACCCAGTGTAGAAGAGATCGTATATATACATATACACACACAGGCCCCCCACACACACATATAAAGAGCCCCCTTTTCAAGTTCTTTAGCTCGTGGAATTGACACATACTCAACAATACATACATATAAGATTGTCTGCCTTTTTTTCTTTGGTGCCACAAAAGACGAAAAAAGTGCCGTGCTAAAGCATAAAATCAAATAAAACTAAAAAGAAAAAAGTGAAAATTAAGCAAGAAGCAAAAGATAGAGAGAGAGCATATATTAAAAGCAACATGGCAAGTGTAGAGCAAAAAAATGCAACAGGCAACACCAACGGCAACAACGGCACAATAAAGCCGAATATCAACGCTGTGGCCGAGCCAACTGAGCCGCCAAAGGATGCAAAGGATCTGTTGCCGCACTTGGAGTCGCTGGAGCGCATCATTAAGTTGCCTGTGGTGAATGCCGCTTGGGATAAATCGCAAGATGTCTATGGCAAAGTGAAGGGTAAGTGTCTTAGCACCTCTTCTCTCCATCTATCCGTCCCTCGCCCCCTTCCAACATTTTGTAGTGCATATCAGCGACCATGTGTTTGGGCTATGCAAGTGCATTGAACTCGAGCTTAGCTGCCGGTTAACTAACGGCAAATCAATGGCAGTGCAAGTAATTGTAGACGACTTCGAGAAAAAAAAGAAGAAGAAGAAAACGAAACGAAAGAGCATTCAAAAGCAAAAGCCAAACCTCCGTTGCTTGAGCACGCCCAAAGCCGCGACTGCGGCTGCTACAGTGACAGCGACAGAGACGGCGAGGGCGAGTGCAAAGTTCGCCATTTTGAGTGTGAATATTGCTTGACGAATTCGCCGTGAAGTCGAGACTCGAAAAAGTTTAATTGAGCCGGCAAATTGCAATTGGCCATTGCCAAATTGAAGCCAATTAAGCTCAATTGAACTAGCAGTCGATATAACCGCAGCAGCAGCGGTAAAAACAACAACAATAACACCACCAGCAGTAGCAGCAGCAGCTGCAGCAACAACAACAACCATGACCTGCCGTCAAAAGCGGGCGAAATTCTTTCACTCATGACGCGGCTCTGCGGCAGCGTGCAAAGTGCAAAAACAACCAAATTTACATAACTTGACAATTTGTTGCCAGCCCAACATATTTTGTTTCTTTCAATTTTTATTGCGTGTGTTTCGCTGTGCGTTTTGTATGTGTATGTGCGTGTGTGTGTGTGTGTGTGTGTGTATGCTATGAATAACTTAGGAAAGTGCAGTCAGTGGCGTGGCCTACAGGGGGCGCGCGCACAAATTGTCGCCGCAAACGCTCAACTATGTATGTATGTATGTATGTGAAAGAGAGTGGGAGGAAGAGGGCGAATGAGAGAGCATGATTGAGTGTGAGCATTGGACTTTTGACTTGTTTTGCGTTTTATTTGATTTGTTTTGTGCTACCTACGAGATGAAAAATTGTTGTTGATGACTAAATGGGCAGCAACTATTAAAGTCTCACTAATGGCAAACAGCTAAAAGCTACAGTAACAACAATAACTACAACACAACTCTGGCAACTGCGCAGTTGCTTATCAATCAGGCAACGGCAACAACTGGCGATAAGGCACAGTTCTCGAGCCGAGAGTCAATTGGGCGTGGATGGGGGTGGGCGGGGTATTGCAGCTGCTTATCAGTCGGGCCAGAGCTCAATTGTCACTGTTTAAAAAGCCTTTATAAAATATTTATACATATGTACACATATTCAGATAGTCTCATAAATTATATTCTTCTCTATCTCTCTCTCTCTCTCTTTCTCTGTCCCTGTCGCTCTCCCAGGCAAAAATCGCGTCTTCAATTGGGCCTTGAATGCGGCCGAGGATTGCGTTGCACGCGCCGTGACCACAGCTGCACCAATTGTGAATCGCTTGGACCGGCCCATCGCCTATGTGGATCAGACACTGGTCAAGGGCATCGAGACACTGGAGGTTAAGGCGCCGATCATCAAGGACACACCGCAGGAGATCTATGCCCAGGCCAAGAACAAGGTCATCGATGTTGTTCAGCCACATTTGGAGCGTGTTGTCAAGTTCAAGGCAGCGGGTCAACAGAAGGCCGCCTCACTCAAGGATCTGGCCTGGCAGAAGGCCAACGAGGTGCTGGCCACCCAATACGGCAGCCTCGCTGTCAATGGGGTCGATACGACCACAGCTTTGGCTGAGCGTCTCCTCGAATACTATTTCCCCAAAAGCGAATCGGACATCGAGGAGGATAATGGTGAGTAAATCCAGAGAAGATGGATACTTCTAGCTGGGCTACAGACTGCAAAGGGGCATTTCCAGGGTATGACTCAAGTATGATAGACCTTCAGTTTGTACGAGAGAGCACATCTCAGAGCCAATAAATACTTCAACTCAATCTTATCTATGCGAAAAATATAGTTTAATCTCAGATTTCGATAGATCAATAAAACTCGTAATAGGGTCAAATATAGAAATATATGTAGATTACACATCAAATACTTTCGCTGTAGACTCGCAGTTTTTTCCCAGAGTCCGATTTCCGTCTTTTGTAAATAGATTCCTCAAGCTTCATAGCAAACCCTGGAAAATGCCCACACTTTTGGCTTCAATAATTGTTTCTAGTTTCGGGTATCCCCGCTTCCCGACCTAAATAAAGCGTAAATATTTTTAATTCTCACAGATAAACAAAAAGCTGTCGTGCGAAATGGCAAAAGTGCTGAGAATGACAGTAAGTGAGAGCCACACTCGTCCTATAACTAATCCAAACAAAAAGAACACATAACCTAACCCAAACCTAACCCAACCTAAGCCTAACCCCAACCCTAACCCTCACCCTGAACCTAACCTAAACCTTAAACTTAAGCATGTCTGCTTGTTAACCAAACCGATGCATAATTCTAATAGATTCTCAGACTTAGTTCAAGTGGGTCTCAAGTTGCTTATTCCCTAGGGCCATATCCGACATTCGTCACATTGTGATTAAGCAATTGTCCTTAACTAAGCATGCAGTTTTGACTAATTTGCTAAAAACTATCTTATCTCTCTCTCTCTCTCTCTCCCTCTCTTTCTCTATGTTCGTCTGCTCTCTGTCTCTCGCTCACTCACACTCTCTATCTCTGTCGCTGTCTATCTGCTCTCTTGTAGTTAATGTTATTGGGGAGCCCGACTATGATCAAGAGATTGACACTAGATTCTTAATAGCCGCCTCGACGGTATTTTTGTCCATGTCGTTGAAAATCATAACCGAAATTGTTGAGTACATTAGAAGAAATCCAGAGATCGTAGGCATTATCGATAGGGAAATCAACAACCTAATGGTAAGCACAAAGCGCAAAGCACAATAACAACTATTAAATAACCAAGAGAAAATTAACAAGCGATTAAATATCACGAATATTCTCATACTAAAAACAAACAATAACTTTTGCTTATAATTCGCAAACAGTTCAAGCATTTGCCCAACACTTTTTTGGCTTTATTCTAATCATAAAATTAATTTTGATTTTCTTCAATTTGTTGTTGTATTTTTAGTGCCAGTTCCCGCCAGCGAGGACCCCGTATTACACACAGTCCAGACCGTCGGCCGCTTATCCAATAAGATCTCGCGTCGCGTCTATAGAAATGTCTCCAGACAGATCAAACAGGTCCAGCAAGGCAACATCAACGACTATCTGAGCTCGCTGATAGCCGCCTTGAAGCTGCATCAATATATCAATTTCATAAACTCATCGATGGGCACAAATGTGGAGCAGTCGACGCTATCGAGCGAGAACTGTACACCCTATGGACCCAGCAGCAGCAGCAGCACCAGCACCAGCACCAGCGCCGCCAACACCAACAGCAACAACATCAACAACATTAACAGCAACAGCGCAAACAATGCCAAGAGCAAAGTTGCCGTTGCAACGCCATCTAGCGTACAGTAGAAAGATGTGCGGCTGCCAATGGGGTTTTTCTTTGTCGGGTTGGCTCTGATTTAAGTTGTCGTTTTTTTCTTTTCCTAATCAGTAGAAGACGGAAAGGGAAGACGTCTTAATAACCAGCCCACCCTATTATACGCTTCTCATTTGCTCTTATTTAGTTTTATATATTTTATGCCTCTTTTCTTTGCATATTAACTATTTTTTTTTTTTTTTTTAGAAGTGGCCTAAGCACACACATATACACACAGACACACACACACACACAAAAGCAATTGCTTTGTAAATATTTATTTGAAGTAACACACATCTCTCTACACACACACACACACCTAAACACAAACACACACACACACACATATATACGCATATCGATATAAGTTGTAGTTGTTAAACGTTTTTAAACACAATTTTTTTTTAGCTGTGCTAAAACTTAAAAGCGCCACCTGGCGACCATGTGCCACACACATGCATTCAATGAAGAATATAACAAGAGAAAGTCCAATACGAAAAAAAAAAACAAAAAACAAAAAACAATTCTGATCAGAAATTATGCTAGATATACATATTTAACGTATGTATACGCATCTTTATATATACATATATATATATATAGTATATAGAAATATATATATCTAAAGCCAACTCCCCCCCTCCTAACCTATGCGTTATACTATTTAATGATAAACAACTGAATTATAGTTTATATGTAGCTAGAGCGAGATAGAGAGCTCGCCTAATGAAATATATATATACATATATATATATTTATATATATGTAATACTGATGTTTTAATTATGCTTAATATATAACATATTCTTAGCTGATGAATTATGCTTTAAATATATGGAAAAGTATATATACATACATATATATATATACAAATTATATAAATACCTTTGAGCTAACAAAAAAATAAAATAAACAAAAACAACAAAAAAATACAATTAAAAATGA